TCCCCTTTTTATGCCTTTCCTTTTTCTCCAATTTCATTTCTCCTGGTCTCCTTTTTCAGACACCAGGCAGCCAAGCTGGCTCCTTCTACAGTTAAAGGAAAGAGTGCTTTCTGTAAATGTGGACCAGATCCTTCCAGCACATTCACATTCCAGGGTTTGGTGATTGATGCATCTGCGCCCCTTTGAGAGGACCTTCTTTGAGACTTGAGATCTGTGGGCACAATCTTCCATCCTTCTCACAGCCAACAAATATTTGGGTCTGAGCCAATCCCTTTCTGGCCTGCCCTCCCACAGCCATGGTGACCTCTTAGATAAATTCATATTTCACCTGGAAATGCCATGACCAAGGTACCATCCCATCTGCTCTCTTGGGGACACTGTTCCTAGACACCTGAAGGGGCAGGAGGGACTTCTATTGGCTTTTGAGGTGCATTGGAGACCCTTGAGCTAGGGGAATGGGGAAAAGCATTCCTGTTTTTGCACCTCCCAGTTGTTTGATAGGCAGGAACATCCTTGGCTGCCTTAGTTATTAATCTGCTGAGAGAAAACAACAGGATTTTCAAATGGAAAAGGGCATACAAATGCATTTCAGGTGCTCTGCTGGAAGATACTGTCATTATTTTATTTATTACTTGTAATAACATAGGCTGACAAAATGAAGTAAGCTCTACAGCACTAGCTGTTGTAGATATTGGGCAAGCACAGAGCAAAATGAGGGATTTTCCCAAACAAAATGATAGTTTAGGACTAACTCAGCCTGCAGTAGGTCCTCTGATGGTGTCCAGGTTCCCAACTCTTTTCTCCTTTTGTGCTTGTCTCTAATCTCCTCATAACAGAGCACAAAAACAAGGTGTAAAATGTCTGGCACTCATGAACAAGGGGCATTGAGTGATAGTAGTTGTGGCAGGGCTGTGCTCAGACCCTCCTTGGCTAGGTAAATTCCAGCTGTGGAGGCTCTAAAAAAAAAGCTGTGTTGGTAAAACACAACTACTGCCAGCAATATGTCCAGCAGCTCTGCAGAGCTCACAGATTTCTTGTGAAAACTCAAGCTTAAAGATTAACAGTTCAGATATTCAAGGGTCCTTCCAGATATGAACTAAAACGTAACTTTTGCATGCAACCTGTGAGTGATGATTGCATCTTGACGTGATCTCCCCTGGCACACTCTTCCCTAGAGATATGTGTGATCTCACCCTACACAGGTGGAAGCAAGATTCCTGACTTCTGCAAGGTCTCCAGTCTCAGTGATAAGTCAGTGAATGTGGTAGCAACACTTTCAGCCTCCCGAGAAGGTCCTCACCTATTGCTAGGTCTCTTATGAGGGACTGCAAATCTCCTTGGAGCAAGAGCCATATGCACACAAAAAAAAAAAAAAAAAAAAAAAAAAAAAAAGAATTTGAGAAAATCAATGGTGCCTACACATCCATGCACATCCATAGAAAGCTTCACCTCCTCATAGGAGTAAAGTTAGAAGAATAATTTGTGCCCTTATGTTTTGTAGTGAGTGGAGACAAGGTCCCTGGTGTTGGATTTGGACCTGCTTGCTTTCTTCATTTCTTCTACTTCTCTCTTTTTGCTGTGTGCAGACCCCACTTTTACATGAAAACCTTACAGTGATTTCTAAGCAGATTTTGGGGAGTTTATATATGGTAGTAAAAAGTTTCTATTAATTTACAAGCTTTGTTTGGTGTAGTACCAACAGAAACTAAAAGATTGCTGTTAATCTTTGGCTGAGTCAGGGGAGTGGTTGATGTCTTCTCTTGGGAATAAGGGGCCATTTCCTTGGTGATCCCACCTAGGATTATCAAGATCTATCAACTCTTCAGAAGCTAACAACCCTTTCTAGCACCCTAGCTACTGGGGAGAGTCCACAGAATGAGTCTGTATTGTCATGACTGGCACGAATGCACACTTAAGCGTTCCCACCCCATGTCCATGACAGATACTGAAATCCCTAAAAAAGGTATGGCAGAGTGTCCAGTTGATTCAGAAGCACTTGAGACTAACAGCTGATCAAGTCCATCTACACTTCTCCATTGCCAACAGCTCTTGGCCGACCTACCTTTAGGCATGGCTGGGCAAACCCTTCTATATGAACCTGCCCTTGCAGCTTCACCTCTGATCTGCTTCAGCCAGCACGGCCATGAGCAGCAGGCCATTGAATTGGCTGGAGGAAAGATGGGAGCTCTACCTTACAATGCTTTATTTCAAGAGATGACTTGTCGAGACAAAAGCACAATGATGGCAGCAGTAAATATTACAGGAGAGTTACCTGCACTGCCATTTTCTGTTGTAGTGTACATATGTGCTCTATTTCCACAGGTAATAATTTAAGATGGAAATTGTTATTGCAGTTGCTTATTTTAAATTTAATCAGTCTTAACTGTGATTTTTCTGCTTTTACTTTTATTAATTGCTACATTAATCTCTAGTCTTATTCAGTTTTGGAGATGCTTAAAAAGACGATGGCCATTCAATGGCAAGATCAGCACTGCAGTTGTGCCTGGGAATATTGCACTTCATCATCCAAATGCCATCACTTTTGTGGTGTTCGTTTTTTTATTATTATTATTTTATGTTGTAGAAGTGCTGGGGAATCTCATGTTGCTGGAGGTCATATTTTGACACCCATCCAGAGGTCAAGTTAAACAAATGCCAGATAGGAATAAGATTTGTCTAATTGGTCTTGCCTTCTGAAGGGGAAGCAGTCAAGCTGACACCTCAAGGTGTCTTGCAGCACTATTTTCTCTAGTTTTAAGATTTCATGACTTATTAGAGAAGACAGTGTAATTACATTTTCAGCTGAGATGCAGTTATAAAATCAACTTATGGTAATTGAGTACAGACACTGCAGCAAGAGGTGTATCACTCTTAGGTAAATATCATAGCAGTAGAAGGAGTGAGAATCATCATTAAATTTCACTGAAGGGTGTGAATCTTGAAATTAAAAATTATAACAATACTAACAACAGAAGCACTAAAAGCAACAATATGGTTAATAATAATTATTTGTCTTGAAACCCTATCCAAAATCATAGGGATAAAAAGGAATTACATTTTCTTCATTTTCTTGTTGCTCTTTCACTTTAAAGAAAATAAATATGGTGTTTCCTCAGAGATGAAAATCCAACTTTTTCTTTTTCTGTTTTTTTTTTTTTTTTTTTTTTTATGGGGGAGGTAACTGCATGTGGGTGTTTATACTGCTGCTTAAATGAGTTCTTGATTATGCCCACCACAAATCAGACAAAGTATCTAGAAATCTTTCCCATATTAATCATGTATGAAAAACTGCAACACTAAAAATGGAGGTTGGTCTTCAAAATCTTGGCCTGTGATGTCAGAAGCAAGGCTGGTAGATGTTTTTCCCCTGAGGAAACCACACATGATAATGGTATTTCATGTGTTGGAAATTAGTTTCAAGGAACTCAGTTGGAATTTATTGCCAGTGTTTTACTAAAATCACTTTGCCTAACATTTTTCAAAAATTAGCTGTTTTGCAGAGCTCTGAGCATGTCTTCCCTAAGACAGGGCAGAAATTTAAAAACCAGTGTCTGACCCTTGCATTACTTTTAAATGACTATGTAATAAGCTGCAGGGAGATGCATGGATTTATTTTCACCTCTGTAGTCTGAAGAATATCATAAAACATTCAAGATTTTGCTCTTTTAGTTTTATGTCATCATCTGATTTAGCTCAGAATTATTTCCTTGGATAAATCCTTCCCATTCTCTACATCACCTTCCAGTGGTCCAGCAAGCCATATGTCTAAACTCATCACTGTCCACTGGACTGATACTTTATTTTTAAGGCTTTGGACAGGTCACTTCTCTACCTGTAGTGTTGTACTTCCCAAAGCATGGACTGTGACTGCAGCATCACAATGATTTACACAAAAGAATTTGAATTTCAAGACTTTGTTGACATCGTAAAAATATTTTTCATGTGGTTTTACTTCTTTGTAAATCATTCTAAACTAGCTTGCCCATGGTGGTATTTTTGCCTGAAAAAGAATAGCTAGTCTTGATGAACTAAGAGAAACAGCAGACTACGCAAGGAGCAATTGTGTTTCTTCCCTTTTGCTGTATCCACAGGAGACATCTGAATGAGATTGTCTGAGCAAGAACAAAACGAGGGTTATGCAAGTCATTAGCTATTTCTGCAGACCCCTGCAATGTGAAATGGAAACCTGTGATACAAGACTTTCTCTTGCAAAGCATGCCACGATCTCTGCAGCCCACCCTTTTGACCCAACAAATATCTCTTTCTCACTACTGCAGAATGGCTGCTCTCACTTTTAATGACTCCTGTAGGGCTTGGGAACTTGTGTTTACTGCATTTCTGCCCCATGGGCTGTGGCCCTGCTCTAATTCTTGCCCCAAACCATCATTCCTTGCCTGTTGCTCAGTTTATTATGTTAATAATGTCTTCCACCCTTCTCCCTGTCCCTCGCCTAGAAGGTCCTCAGATAAAGGCTGCTCTTGTGTCACCTCACCAACTCACTACTTTCTTTGTTTCATGTTCTCCAACACTGCTACTGTGGAGAATTGAAGGTACATAAAGCCAAACCCTACAAACTGAGGCTTGGCAGCTGTGGAATGTTGAAATAGGGAGGCTGCATTGGACCACTGTGTAGACCAGCTACTGGCTGAGTTCCTCCTAAATGACGAGTCCACCTTTTCTGATGTCCTCCAAAGGCACTGACAAAAGGCACCTCCTTAGGCAACTCTGCTTGGCCAACCTAAGCCTCACTGCAGGTGCTTCTCTCTAGAGACCAAAAAGGGAGCCTCTAGATCTGCCTCTGTGTCTAACACTGCAAGGGACAAATCCAGACTGTCCCATCCTGGAAGGTGCATGGAGTCACTCAAAACGGAGCTACGTTTGTGTTAGCAGCAAAGCCAAGAGATGGCTTTCTCACCTTATCTCCTCACAGGAGAACCAAATATATCAAAGCACAACCCTTACTGTCCAGTCAAACAAAAAACTACCACCCTGAAGAGAAATGTGATTTATTGTTACTTTATTAACAACATAGCTTACAATTGCTTCAAGTAAAAAGGGGATTTCATTTTTGAATAAAAATTAAAATATAACTCTGAATATAGATTTTCACTTATTTACATGAAAACATATATACAGAATAGAATCTTACAGCAAACTAACAACATGCCCTTTGCCCTGTGAACTTTAAAAAGTAAAAACACCAGCATTGATTGATTTATATGTATATATATACACATACATATATACACACATATATATACATATATATATACACACACACATATCTTTGTAACACACCGAAGGGATTATATACACAGTTTTGAATCAAATCTTCAGTACAAACTGGAATGCAAAACAATTCAAAGATTTCCAACGTGCATCACCACGAATGGACCATAACTGCTGGTTGTTGAGCTAATTTATGTTGTTCTATAAGAGACAGGAGGGTCTGAGTGTTTGCCTTGTCTCACCCTGGCACATGATAAGCCTTGACAAAGAAGCTTTGACTCCTTTCAAAGTCTGCACTTGAGATCTTTCACCTCGTTTGGACCATACCACAGCGGATGCTTGGCTGTACTTGATATCCCTGTCTGTGTCCACAGAATTGTCAGGACATAGTTTCACCAGGGGAATGTTTTCTAGCAAGCAGGCCCCTGAAGGTGAAGGCTGCTGAAGTAACTGCACATGGTGGCACACCCTGACCTGGTTTGGCTGAATGGGGACTGGGAAACATGGTGCACACAGCTATAAGCAGACATAATGACCATAAAATCTAGTGACGCTAGAGCAGCAATACGCAGGTTGGGTGACTTGGGAATGCTAATTTTTGTCCTGTCACATCGTAACACACAACAGAGTGTTTTGTAGACCAACAACCTGAACTCAGGGCACTAACACCTATTTCTATGGAAGAAAGCCCAAGTTTTAGCCCCTGACATTTCATCTTCTCTCCTTCATCTCACCTGGCCCCTGCAAAGGCTCAAAGCATCTTTATTGTGAACAAGATAGAGAAGCCTTCAGGAATGATGCTGATGGACCATAGCTGCCCTTTCCTCCTTGGAGAGATCATTCTCTATATCCAAGATATTTCAAGCCCAGAACTCCAACCCTCCTCTTCTTTCCTGAAACCCTCCCCACTATCCTTGGTAGGTATCGAGGCCAGGAATATTTGTGGGTAGATTGCCACACAGCAATTGTCCTGCTGCATTAAGCAGGACACACATCTCACTTGAACTAACTGCTGGTCCACAAATACTTCCCCACTCATACTAGATATAAATGTATTCTGCTGGCATGCTGTGCCATGGGCCATTACAGAGGTGGGAGTCTTAAATCAGCAACATGAAAGCTTTTTCAGGGTAAGAATTCACATGAAAGACTAAAATAATAAAAAGGGCATGCGTACTTAAAACTATGACCCAGTATGTTTTTGTGCAGTTCATATATATTCATATTCTCTCAGCAAGAGAATTCCAGTGCATGGCACCAAATCATTACAAAACCACTCTTCTCCTGCAGGACAGCTGACATTTAAAGGACTACTGGGCTGTAAAATTCTCATCTTTGATGACTGGCTCATATTCTAAATGCAGCCATTAAGATCATTTGCACTTGTTGCCGGAGTATCATACCAAATAATAGATGAGAACATTAAATGCTTCTGCTCCTTTCTTTGGAGTTCATGAGTACCTAAGGACATGAGCCTTCTCTCGTTAAGTCTGGCAGATTGCAGCTGAATATCCACCTGCTGGGAGAAGGAGGATTTTAAATTTTGTTTTAATTAACTGCACACTTTTTGACTTTTAAGTGAAAGAATTTGGTGAAGGCCTAGTCCCATAGCCCACGTGTGAGGGCCCTTTAACTAACCTCGGTCACTTCTGGATCAAATCCTGAGTAACAGATTCCCTTAATCATAGGTCAGCTGATACAACAAAAAGTATTATCAAGGGAAAAAATTGCATGCAATCACATTTTTAAAGAGCTTTTACATGTATGTACATATATATATACACTGTACAAAAGTTTTGCAAAACTCACATGACTGGGGGGAAGGGAATTTATTTGTTGAGTATATCTGAATTAAAGAAATGTGTAGTCACAAGAAAAAAAAAGAATATAAAATCCTAATGTTTAATATGTTGCTGATTACAGAAATTATTTCTTGAAAAAGGGAATCAGCTTTGTAATTCCAAGCAATGGAAAATACAGCATGACGTATCTTAGCACCAAAATGGAGCCCTTGAGACTATATTTATCCGCATGTAATAAAGCTGGTTTTAATGGTGTTCAGTTGCAGCATGTTCTTCTCTTTTGGCACTTGAATTTTGAAATGGGAGGAACAGTCTGAGCTGCGTCAATTTTCCAGACACTCTGTACCAGAAAAGCAAAAAGCATTTGAAATACCTTGAGTGTCTAAAACACTGCAGTTACATGGCAGCTCCATCACAATCAATTTTATGCCCTGAAAACACCAGAGCAGGCTTTTCAGGTGACCAGTCATTGATTATGGTGGCCCAATGGTTCTGGTTGGCCTTCAAAGAGCTGAGACAGCATTTGCTTCAGACAACACCTGTGGACTGCAGAAGATTGCAGTTTAATGCCAAGGAATGGTGGTGTTCCAGTTTAAGGCAAATTAGCTGCTTACCTTAAATCTTAATGATTTAAGGATCTGAAATCTTAATGGACTTTATGTATCCAACTTACTGAGACACTCTGTAAAACCCAACGTTCAAATACCTCTGTCAGTATAGATGAGGCCATCTCAGCTAGGACATGCATCTGCTAGACGCTTCACTAAGGACAGGGTGTGTAAGCATTGCCCTGATCTTAGTGGTTACCACAGCATTTCTAGGAGGTTTTCTGCACCCTGCAGGATCAAACTCTCAAGAGCTAGTGCATATGGTTAATACAGTGGAGCTGGAGACCCTGAAATCCTTCTCAGAGCTGAGGCCAACATGCCTCTGAGAGGTAGAAACAGCCAGGGTTCGGTCACCCTGGCATTGAGGAAAGAACAGGGAGTGTGGATGGGAGCTGTCTTTTTAATTTGGAAAGGGAAGAAGAACCAAAGAGAACATTTTTTGGGGGGGTGGGAGAGGTGCAGGAAGGAGGCAGGACAACCAACTGGAAATCATGGGCATTTTCATTAAGCTACCCTGTTAATTCAATGTCAGAGACCACTGCTTTGGGCCTAAAGACTAGGAGCTGGTTGAATTCTGTAAGGTAAGTGCTGATGGGGTTGGGAAGGGAGCAGGGACCTGCCCTGGGACCTGTTCAGCCTGATTCAGCTCAAGCTGAAAAGAAGCCAGATGGAGATGGGCAGGTGCCATGTGCTCCGTAATCCCTTACTTGTGCTCCAGAGCACAAAGCTCTAAAAATGTCCATCCTCAGTCCTATGTGCCTGAAGAGAGGCCAACAACAGGTGCCTGCACACCCTTTCTGTGGGAGAAAAGCAGTCTGTGTGAACGTGCTGAAGGTCAGCATCCAACAGCCCAAAAGCAACTGCATGGTTGCTCCTCAGCCCTTGGTAATGGTCTTGGACAATCACGAATTCAGCATTGTACAGTGGTGGCCTTTTTAAACTGCTAACGCAATAAACTTCTGCCCTGGGTACCAAATTCAGAACAGGGTGGGAGAAGACATGGCTTCACCAATGTTACTGGTGTACCTATGAAGTTGCACCAGCTCTGCATTTGACCCAGAACCTATGCAGGACCAAAAAAAACCTTCCAGTGGTTTATACTTCTACATAGCTTCTACACAGCAAGTAGAAGTGTTATTTTAGCCTAATAAGAATGCATTTCAAACATCTTTTTTGAAGTACATTACTCCAAAGCCTTGCTAATTTTCAGGAATTGAAGCGCAGGCAAGAATAGGCAGTTCTCTCTGATCTCTTCAGAGATTAGAGTTTCAAGTGGCAATATGAGTGTACTGCCCAATTAAAGTATGCCAAGCCCATTTACCCCTCTAGTTTAAGAAATTGTCTAAGAGGTTCAGCTCCAGCTTCTCTGGAAGGCAATCAGTGCAACAGAAAACAGTAACCCATTTCTCTTTTTCTTTCCATCTTGTAGACTAAATAATAATAATAATATTAAACCATTCACCACCCATTTGACACAAGGTAATTTTAGGCTAATTTCAGGTTATCATCTTCTGCTAAAGAACAGAGAGAGATAAACGAGAGGACACTGGAGAACATTAAATTGAAAGACAAATAGTAAGGAGAGAGAAACCTGAGGAAATAAAAGAGCCAGTGCGAGCTAAAAGTAAACTCTTTTTTTGTCTGTTTGTTTAATAGGTGAGTTTTAAATATGGTTTAACTTCCCTGAACAATCAGTAAAGACTCCCATGTGGTGGGCTCAATGCTCCACCCATCCCCAGCTTGGCCAACACCCGGGCTGGTTGTTCCTAGAGTCTGTGGCTGTCTGCTCCCTGACCAAGCCTCTACGAGTAGTTAGCTGCCATAGGAATATCTACAGTTACAGGGTTGATGGAGAAAGCACTGAACATTTTTTCAATGTATCCCAGCAAGTATTACATGTCTCTGACAAATCCCAGCAGCCAGAAACTCCAAGGAACATCAGAGTAGCAAAGGATGCTCAGAACAAGGTGGACGTGCTAAGCAAAGGATCAGTGCTAGGATGCTGCTTAGCGAAGTCATTCTCCTTCCCTTCCTTGAAACGTCCTCGTACACTTGTTCTTCTGACAGCAGCCTTTTGGGAGCCATCCCCTGCAGGCAGATGTTGTACCAGCTGTGGGAGGGAGCTGGCTGAAGCAGGGTGGAGCTGGGAGAAGCACCCACTCTGTTTTGTTTTGTTTTGTTTTGTTTTGTTTTGTTTTTTCCCAGCTCTATTCTTTTTGCTGGGCAGAATCCCTTTCTTTTCAGAGATGAAATGAGGTGACATTTTTAGGGGATCTTTAGAGGAATCCAAAGTAGCAGGAAATCCAGTCTAAAGCCAAGTTTTTGAATGTCTGCAACAGTCCAGAATCCTATTCCTGGATTTCTGAGAAACAGAAGGAAACCATTTGGCACAAAGGTGACTACTTCTTTTCCCTTCATTTGGTTAAAACTTGAACAAGATCTTCAGTGCAAGACAACAGCTGACAGCAGGTCCAGTCCTGACATCCCAAGTAAGAAAATCTTCAGTGATGTCCCAGGAGCTTGCGGAATCTGGCCCAGTCTGCAGTGGTTGCACCCATCACATTCTTCAGTGGCAAATCAGGAAACTCCCTGAAAAACGGACTAGAAAGTCTCCACGGATGCATGTCAAAGAGTCAATACTTGTTGCCTAACACATGCTCCAGAGCAGATTTGGATGTTGTCCAGAACGTGTATTTCCAAGGCTTTCCACCTTTAATCCAAAGAATCTAAGGTGGAAATTGATGAAGGAGAAGGCAGCTGCGATAGCCTGGTGTTGGCCAGGAGGTTTTTCTGAGCACATGGTGGTCCGTAGGATTTTCTGATCCAAGTTTGCTGTCAACATATGGTAACTGCTGGAGGTGGGGGCCATAAGCACTGCTTTCAGATTTAGGGCTAGAAATGGCATTTCTTTTTGAAGAGGTCTTAACAAAGTGTCTCTGGCATTACAGCATTGTAATATCACTATTAAATGTCAAGAGTGAGTTCACTGAGGCCAGGGAACTATGGTTTGTTTGTGATCTGTGAATAAAAGTCTGCTGAAATCAGTGGTTTCCTATGAAATCAGGCTAAAACTCAGCACAAACCATCCAATTCACTTTCTGATGGATAGATTCAATTTTATTGCACCTTAAAGTCAGATCAAAATTCAGACTTGATCTGAAGAATCAGTTTGGCTCTTGCTTTTGGAAGAATTTTATGCCTATGTGATGCCACCGACCTCTTCTGGATTATAGAAAAATCAGGCTCAACATGTGGGACTCAGAGGGTCATATATCCCTGTAAAGTAAATGGAAAATACTTATCCTATATATATACAACTAAGGCAAACCCTCTCTGGTGCACACCCTACTTGGCACAAAGCAAGCCCCCAGTTTTACTGGCCAGGTTGCCATTGGGACAATCTGGGGGCTGTCTACAGACTGGTGACACAGGGTGCAATGGGCCGGATCCTCAGCTGTTTTTTTACCTGAAAATACTGCAGCTTGAAAACACTGATGATTTTTATTCATACCTATCAACCAGATTCATGAAAGTGCAAGTGAAATCAGCACTTTCTCAACAGTCTCACCATTAAATCAGAACCCCCCCTTTTTTTTATTCACACCATGGACTCCAAAGCCAGGCCTTTGAAGTGACTTGAATTTAACTCGATGGGCTTGACTGTGAAGGATATCATGCATGGTCCTTTACAAGAATGCAGTACTGTACAGATCCCATCACTGAGACATTCAGCTTCTTGTACACAGCCAGCGTGGCTCAGAAAGCACTACTGTGCTTTAGGTCTTGGTGCAGCCCTGTCAATTCACTGCAGCTTTGTCTGATACCATATAGAAACCGTGGGTTGAGTCCTTCTTTATAAATCACTCCAGTATATCAAATAGTGTACGACTGGTAGAATACTTCATCCTTTTGTACAATTGGAGAGGGGGTCAAAAAAAGCCCAATGATCACTAAGATCAATTTGAAGTAAAGCCCAGGTCATGTTACAGATGTTCACTTCCATTTCAATATGAAAGAAGTGTGTCAGAGTTGGAAAAAAGCATTGTTCACATCCAGAAATTGACCTACACAAACCATCATCAGCCGAAAATGTCCACCATTCTCCTTGGGAATGTGTCTGCCATGGGTAGGTTTGCTTTAAAGAATGACAAACAGTCTGATCCAAGCTGGCCTGGCACCACAGCGTAATGGGTTGGCGAGGCTCACGAGGAGAGATGCCAGCAATCTTTCAGTGTGCTTTACTACAAGTACTGAAAAATTAGTTCAATTTGTTGCTAGTTTTTCGTTGTGTTATTTTTTCCCCCATAGATTAATTCCCAGTGCTTCCAATTCCATGTGTTTTTGGAAAAGAAAAGAGGGAGGGGATGAAAAACTTGAACAAGTCACAATGCTAAAAAAGAGAGGGAACAAGAAGGGGAGCAGAAAGAAATGGAGAAGTGCAGTCAGTTGGCATATTGTGCATAGAAAGCAACTTTTACTCGCTCAATCTGGTGACACAGTTTGATGGCTGGACCAAGCTTCAGCTCCATGCATTCTTGCACCGTGGGCAGTGTCAGCAACAGGAGGGCTTGGCCATCGATGTCCTGGGGAGAAAAAACACAGTGATAATGGTTTTGTTTATGGATTAGGCAGAAAGCAGAACCAGATATGGAGAAGCAAGAAGAGAAGTTTACCCCAAAAATTAAAGACAGTTTTGTCCTCTGCCCTTTTCTCCCACTTTGATGCAACCCATCTCCTTTTTCTGAGGTACCTGATGCTTTGTTTGGAAGTTGTGTATTCATAGGTTCTCACCTCACCCACCTTTTGGGAAAAGCCTCCCAGCTGTGAAAATGCTGGATCGCCTTCTAAAGAGGGGACCACAGAGATCAGGTATGTCCCATTCCATGGCTGAGCAACTGAGGCAAGGAGAAGGCTGCAGAGAGTACACCAGGAAACACAGCAGGGAGCTGAATGGACGAACTGAAGTCAGTCCCAGTGCCAAGCCAGACCCTTCTTTCCTCTTTTTTGGCACACGGTTTGCTTAGCACAGGTTTATGTCTGCCTCAGTCCATGTTGTGTCCCCTGGTCCACCCAAGATCTGCCTTGTTCTTCATAAGCTGCTGAACAACCAAGAAGAGCTCTTGCAGTCTCTGATATCACAAAATCACAGAGTGGTGAAGGGTCCTCCAGAGGTCACCTCCTTCCCTCAGACATATTTATGCTCCAAACTCTCTGAACTAGCACCCCAGACGAAAGACATTTTATGAGGGATTTCTGTTGGCTTTATGATCCTCCTTTTAATTACATGCTCAAGTCCTCTTTACTCTTTAATGGACTGAGAAGCAGACCAGTGGGCTACAAGACTGTTTTTTACCCCCTAGGGAGGATCAGAATGTAAGTGCAGAAAAAGCACAGTAACTCCCAGGCAACATAAACTCCCCAGGACAGCCCTTATTAGGTAGTGTTAAACACAAGGAGGATTTGGACACCTTAAACACTGCTTTGATCAGGACTGTCCCGTTTTTCAGGTTCTTCCTACGGTGAAGCTTGATGCTTTGGCTTGATGGTATGGCAAATAACAAGGAAAAGCTCCAGTCATCTGTGTTTGATTAAAGTTCCTATAAAATTCTCTTGTACAGGAGGGACAGGGTTGGCTTTCAAGCCCTGGAGTTATTCCAGGCTGATTAATAAATGGTTGGAGCAAGCTGCAGTGCAGCGACTACAGCATTGTGCTACAGGAGTGTTTCAGCCTTGCTCTACACTCACACTTCAGTTTCCCCCAGCCAAAGCTGCTGTACTCTGGCACAGAGCTATTCACAGTGAAAAATCAGAGATAGTTCAACATGCAGTGGGCCATACCACTGGGTGCCATTGGCTATGGACTAATTAACTGCACTTGCTTCTTTCTAAATATGATTTCCTAGAGCTGCCCTTTACTTTCAGCAGTTGCTGTTACTCATTAGCCAAGGAATGGCTGTTTCTATATAAATTTTACATGTTCACACTAACTTGAGATGAAGGGCATTGGCTTCTACTCCCATAAACTTACCTCCTTAACGGGAGATGTTTGGCATCTCCTGGAATTGGGTCACCCAAGGGCCTGCCTGACTGCCAGATCTTCAAAAAGATGTAGATGGGAATTGGTGCCTACATACTTGAAGCACCTAGGGGTTGGTGCCAAAATCAGCTAATTTGGGGTTCAATTGTCAGTTTTCTGCTTCCCTGGCCAATATTTTCAGACAGGGAGCAACCACGTAGCCAAGAGAAACAGCTGTATATGTACCAAATAACCACTATCTGTCGATACTCTAAGGTGTCTGTGCTGTGCTGGGATTGTGCTGTTGACCTTGGCATGGACCACAGAACAACAAACAAGAAAGAACCAAACTTCTAGATTTTGCCAAGGTCTCAGTTTGGGGGCTTTCTGTTCCCTCTGAGTATCTGACAAGGCTCTGACTTGAATTTCCAAGGGTAGCCATGCTTCATCAGACCCTTTGCTACAGCTTGGTCTCAGGGGATCTGAAGCCCACTCATACACTCTTCATGGAAGCCGCAGGCCCAATATGTGCTGCCTTTTTTTTTTTTTTTTTAATGTGAATAAACACCACAGACACAAAGAGAAGAGTTACATGAAGACTTCTACCTGCTCCTGAAATATTTTGGCAAGGGGTGCACAGTCAGTCAGTTTAATAAACCTCACAACATCAGTCACAGTCCACTCCAACGGATTACTGTCCAGGACAAGCTTTTCTTCCTCTTCATGCTTAATTTCCTAAGAAAAAACAAAAGCTCTCATAAAGAAAACTACCTGGTGTGGAGAACCATGCTGCTGGTGAATGGAGATGCCCTCCTCAGATGAGAAAGGCTTGGCACTGAAGGTCAATTTATAGAAACAAAGAATCATAGATTCATTAAGGTTAGAAAAGACCCTAAAGATCATCTGGTCTTTAGGGAAAACATTAGGGAAAACACGTCATTACTTGGGAGCTTGCAGGCACACTCACTTCCTTGACTTGCGTGCACTTCTCTGCCTCACCAAAGGAGAGGGGCTGGGGTTTGCGGCTCCGCCGGGCCCTCTCTGTGGGAGGAGGTCTGTCCGACTCGGTGCTGCTCCGCAAGGTAACCGCTCGCCGGGGCCTGGTGGAAGGCACCTCGGCAGAGGAGGTATCGGTCTGGTCATCGCGGAGCTCAGAGCTTGTTTCCTCGCTCCCTGTCTCATCCTCCATCGCATCTGGCTCGTCATCTTCACTCTCCTGCACAAGGACCATCAGAGAAATGGTAGCAAACCTCGGACATGAATACAGCAGCAGCTCAAAAGGCACCACATCAAACTGCACACCCATGTCCATGGCAGTCCACAGCAACATTTATTTTAGCCAAATTATCTCATTTTCTTTACAGTGCTATGTAGATTAACCCTCAATTTAGATTTGTCACAAAATGTAAAAAATACCCAGTGAACAAGTTCTTTTTTTTTTTTTTTTTTGTATGTTTCTAACAAAAGGGCAATGGTAATAACTCATCTGGCATGAAACGTTCAGCAGATTCCTGGGAGTTTTGTCAGACAGAGCTTGCAGACATACACCAACTGATGGGAAGTGTGTATTTTGAATATTATATATACCTAAGTTGCCCAAATGACTTTGACAGCCGAGCTCTGATCATGCATCCAAGGCATATCCAAGGCACAGGCCTTAAGTGAAATAAAATTTATACCAAATTAGTTATATTGGTTGAAAGGCCAAAAAACTTAGGTAATGGTTGATTTCATCTTAAAATGGGTTTATTTCAATCTAAATTCCCTTGAAGAAGTATAATTTAAGGAAATGAGGCTGAACCACACCTAAATGAGGACTAAGTCATGAAGATGCAAGCAATCAAGTTATAGTGGATAAGAAGTTGCTCCCCTCCAGCTGAAGTGGAGGGAATTTAACTAAATTGGTGGAGGAAATTTAACTAAATGAGTTTTCTTTTGGGTTGCATGAAGCAGCTGCAATTGATAGCAGAAATCTTCAAAATGTCCCAGTACAACCAGTCCAGTCTTAGAAGCAGAGAGTGGTAAAGAAGAATTCAAAATGGGAAACAGAATTGGGGGGAGGTTGCTGATAAGTCCCTCAAAAATGAGATGCAAAAGTGCGTGGGGGGGGAGCAATGAGGGAAATTTGCTGATATATCCCAGTGCAATGCGTACCTCTCCAGAGCCTGCAGCATTCACATCAACAGCTGATGACCTCCTTTTCTTCTGCACAAAGATGGATTTCCGCCTTTTTCTGCGTCTGGCTGGCTTGACATGACCACTTTTCATGTTGTTATTTTCCCCAATTGGTGGCTTAATGATTTTTTTCCTCTTCCCATAATAATAAGCTGGAGAAATGAAAGCAAAATTCTCACTGAAAACTTTAAACCACCAAAAGAAGGGAACTTCAGCTTGCTTTTCACTACTGATTCGGTATTACACTCTAGGTGCACTTTTATGAGGAACTTTAAAATGCCTTGATTTGGAAAAAAATCCAGTGTATACATAAGATGTCATTGTGGTCTAGCACAAAGTGTTACAGCTTTTATGTATGCACTTTTATTGGTGATGAGTTCAGGATTTAACCCCACGCTATGTACTCAGAGAAAGTTTCCACTAAGCTGAGCAGCAATTTTAAGCGAGTAAGCCAACATGTTTCATCCTTGATCTAATGCCCTTCTGCATGAGTTAACAGCCTAAGACACATTTTCAGCTGCTAATAGTTTCAGCAGAGGGTAGAGAGGGCCAGCTATCCTGAATTATGTATGTTGGTTCAATGCACAAAGGAATGTGTTTTGTTTCTGTTTTCTAACTCTGAGTATTTCTTGGCCCAAGCTGAAATTAAGGATGTGAAAATCCCCTGGCTTTACATCAGGGGCTTGGTTCATCTGCTTTTTTACATGCCCTACATCATCCTCTGGGGCTGACAAGCAGAGTATCTTTGGACATGTAAAATGGTACTTGGCACCCATATCAAAGTTTGTAACTGCACCGAGCTTTTCACAAGATCAATGGAGTTTAGGGCACCATTCATCTGGCCAAATAGAAACATCAGCTCTAGGATAAGATAAGCACAAATGTAGATCCCCCAGCTGTACCCCTCCAGCTCTCCATTCACTACCAATGGGTGCTAGGAGTCCATCAGGTGTAAAATTCTATAGAAACCCATACTCAGTGATATGAATCTCTCCGAGCCTGCTTCTTCTTCAACCCTGGCATTGAACAGAAGCAAATCAGTTCAAATCAATCATACTGGTTCATTGCAACTTCTGTGATAGAAGGACCCACTTCCACTTTCCTCACCAGTTTAAGACCCAGTTATATCAGTAACACTGACCAGTAATAACAGTAACACTGACAACAATGATGCAGCAGTTTAAATCTCAGCTGGCCACTGCAGGCTCCTTTTATGTGCTCCTTAAATTAACTCTGCATACAAAGAAAAGTCAATACTTCCAAGGAGCAGTGAGTTTCCAAGAGATATATTAGGACGGGGTGAGATGGACTGTTTTCTGGCAATGCCTGTTTCTCTGCACAGAATACTAAGGGAGCACATAGTGGTCAGGATTAAATAACTACTCAACCTACATGAGATGAATCCTACTCATTATTAATGCATTACCCAATTCATGTTCACTCATGTTCTAGCTCACACACAGTATCCCACTGCTCTGATACCTGGCTAGCAACAAGTCCTGCAGCCAATACTCACTGTACTTGGTTTTAGTATGAATGGAGCAGTTCTCCGGGCAGACTTCAGCCACCAGCACAGGGCTGAACAAATTCGGGCAGCACTCCAACTTTGCACAGACTCTTCTGCAGAAATCCGCCACCTGATCCGATGTTCGCACAATCTTAACAGTCGCCCTGTACGTCTTCCCTCTGTATCTAGAAAAGAGTTCAAGATGACCCCGTGTTACCAATCAAGCTTTGATGCTACAGACCAGATGCTGCCCTCTTGTAGGGGGACACAGTCCTTAATGTGAAAAAAAAAAAGATTGGGTGAAAGATTGCGTGAAAGGATCCTGGAAGCTGAGCTGTGGCATGGTTTTGGTCTGGGAAGGCATACAAATGCAAACTAGATATACCTGGACATACAGCAGAAGACAGAATAAGCTTCCGACCGACTTGGTGCAGATATTATACAGGATAATACACTAATACCATGAGCTGACACGAAGTTTTGCAGAGAGGGGTGTAGTCTCTTCTTATATATTGACCTGTGATGAGAATCTTACACACCTTGCAGAACTTTCTGGTCACCACCCTGTACTGGCAATGGGCTCTGTAGGCCCTTACTACACCTCTGGTCTCCTCCACTGCCTTCTTTCTTGAGGCAGCTCCCACATCACATGCCAGCTCACAACATGTCCACCGTTTGATCACGCAAACTAAGGTCACTTGCATTGTAGAAGTATTCGGGTGAACCTGGATTGTCTGCCATATGGAGACCAGATGACTTTGCTGCTATGAGATCTGGGCAGTCCAAAGCCCAAGGAACTCATCGGGAGTCTCTGGAGTGGTTTAACGGGGTTCCAGGAACAGGTCCTAAAAACAGCGATTCCTACAGGGAATGCTTAGAGCAGAAATCCTCAATGAAAGGTTTGTCTTAAATTTGTTAACCATGTGCTACTAAAACATTTATTTCAGTGTTTTATATGAAGTGTTTCTGAGCGATAAGTGAAAGAAAGATACAGTTACATCCCTGCTGTAATACGTTGTAGACGTGAACTCTGAAAAACCAATTATCCTCATAATTTATTAAACAGCAGCACCAAGCTATTGTAAACAGTGAGATAAGGTTTTTAAAACATCTCTTACGCGTCCTGAGGAATGCAACACAAGAGACAATCATGCAAGCGCCTGGTGCTAAGGCATTATAAATGTGCTTTAGAGGAGAGAAAAGTGACACACAAAAGAAAGGGAGGGTGAGACAGTGAAAGAGAGATTACTGGATTGGAAGCAAAGACGAAGATAGAGTCATCAGGAAAAATGAGACAAAGCATTTGTGAGTACATTACAACCCATAGGTCACTAGCAGGGAGGCAGCTCCTGATAGTCAGATATGGAAGAGGAAGAGAAACAAAGGAGACGTGGCTGGAGAGTTAAAATACACAGCACGCACCTAGACTCAATTCCCTCCCTCTGAAGATTTTACTGAATTTCACAAAACAACTGAGAAACCAACTCTTGCTGCTCTACCACCCAAAAGTTCTTTCTGGAAACACTGAGATATGGGAAGAGGGTTTCATCTCATGGTATGTGAAGTCCCATAGAGGCGATACCCAAATGAAACTCAGGTCTGAGAACATCCCAATCTGACCATTCTCATGTCACAAAAGACTTGATCCAAACTATCACCTCAACCTAAAACTCTTCCAGAACCTATAGGAGCATCTCTGCAAGGCACCAGACTCCCAGACACCCTATTTGGTGCCCCCAAACTACCCCAGGTTATGGAGACAGTCCTGGAGCCGTTCACTTTCCTTATTTAATTAGCCAACCCTTTGTGCACCCTGACAGACCTTGGCAGACATATGAGATAAACTGGACAAAGTGCTTCTTCTAGGCAGACAGCACTGTTATTCCGGCTCCCCTATGAAATAGCAGTGCAGGCTGGCTGGCTAAAAGGGGGTTGGCAAAACCTAATATGAAAAGAACAAATTCTACAGGCATTAAAATATATCTACTTATAAATGTTTTATATTTCTTTTCAATGTGTTTGAAAAGACTCCTGCCCTTATTACTTCTCCAGAAGCCATTAAGTTTAATGACAGCCTAGATCGTTAGGTCAGTAAATCTGTGACAGGCTGAAGAATTTCATTGTGCTACCTTCACCTGAACCTCAACAACTTTGCTTGGACTAAAGCACCACTTCCAGAAAAGCACCAGACTCCCCTTTAAGGTCTTCATGCTGGGAGAAACCTGGCAGCAGGAGAACCTGTATCTATAAATCTATGCCTCGTTTTATTTATGGGTATGTGTGGATTTAACTTACATTTATTTGTCCTTGTTCTGACTTTCACCACAAGGATGAAAAGACTGCATCTGGTTTTGTTTCCCTGCAAAAAGCATTGTAATCAGATTGCCTCTTGATCTTCTTTCTTACAAGCTAAGAAAGCTGCCTGATGGCTATTATTCAAGGATGGCTGACTTCTTCTAACTGCGTACTTCCTATTGTGTTTGGCTACCCAGAAAGGACCCATTGTACATTGTAAAGTGCCTGGTGAAAGAAAAAGATGAAATTATGAAAAGGAACAACTGACTGATTTCACAGTTCGGTCTGAATGCAACACACATAGCAATTAACAGACTGGATGGCAAAATGTAGATCAACACAACTGCACCAATGAGTCTCAACAATCCAAGGTGTTAGTACTGGCCACAGTATTATTTTTTACATGATTTTGGCCTTGGCAGCACCTCTTTCAACTATAAACCAGATTCTACTAATATTTTCCATATTTCTCACACTACAGATTTCTAACACAAACACCACCAAATGTAATCTGAGCTTGTCTAGGACAGCCATGTGGAAAGAACTCTTTTGGATATAATCAGAAAAACCTTTTCCATTAGCATCATTCAAAAACTTACCTACTACTGATATTCCTATTGATGCTTTCAAACAAGGCCTCCTATCTTCTTAACCACTTTTAAGTAGTAAGTAACCTGCATGCACAGCATGGCAGCACTGGAGACAGCAAACACTTTACTTTAAAAATGATTTGTTACTTTATATGTTACTTTAAATGATTTTGTTACTTTAAAAATGATTTTTCAGCTCAAGTCAAAGTAATTTTACTTTACTCTCCCTTTCTTTCTGCCCTCAGATCCCAAAAATGCAGAGAAACCCTTCTGGCTGAAACAATTTCCAGGAAAAAATATACTCAGGATCTTTGCTGATTCATGAGCAACAATATTGAGCTAATAGCACTTTGCTGGCAGTATCATACTTATTCTTCTTTTGGAACCAGACATTCATGAGAATAAAATGTCTTCTAGGAGCTCCAGCTGGGGTCCATTGTGCAATGGTGTGAAAAGGATCGTGATGAAGATACATCAAACTGCACGAGCTTTGAGATTACCCTCATTTTCCAAGGTTTTATCACAAGGATATAGCTAACAGTTCTGACAACCTTTGAGACTATTTTGAATAACTCAGTGTCTAAAAGCCTCCACCTCCTTTCAAGGATCAAAAATTCCTATCCGTTCTTTTGCAAGAGATTTCCAGTTTCCTTTCCAAGCTCAAAGTCCACCAAACATATGAAATCTCCTGCAAACACCAGCCACCCACAGCAGATAGCCAAAGTCTCTCTGCATTGGCTTTACCAGAAACAATTTACCAGTCCAGCAGCACAAACTGTCTAACACCCACTTCACTGTTTGATTCAAACCCTGCCTGTATGGACCATTGCAAATGTCCATGATAGCAAACCCTAAAATCTTTATCAAAACCTTTAAAGCTACTCAGTCCATTCTGAATACCAGGGATTTTGCACATACTCCTAATCTGGGTAAAATCAACAAAACCATAGTAAGTTTACAGTAGTAATTACACTAATTCACTTTTGCAGTGCCTCAAAAAATAGGTGCAGAAGACAAATCACGTCACATGAGCTGTAGATTTGTACTGACATTCAAGGACTGCCATTAATAATTGTTTGCCCCCTGGACTTGGCACCACTCCACAGCTTGACTCTAAATATATTATGGGAGACTGTGATGAAAGCCTTGTTAAAGTCAATACAAATAACTTCCACTGGTTTTCCCCCAGCCACCAAAGCAGTCATCTCATCACATCAGGCAGAATTTGTCCTTTGTAAGTCAAATGCTGAGTCCTCCCAGCCACCTTCTGGTCCTGCATATTCTTGGAAATAGCCTTCAGGAGGCTTTGCCTAATAACCTTTCCAGAGACTGAGGTTATGCTGACCAGCCTGTCGTTTCTTGGATTCTCCTTCTTGTCCTTCTCGAGGTGCCATCTGATGTTTGTCTTGATCAAGTGAACTTTCAAATATGACAGAGAGTGGCTTCACAATGACATTAGCTTGTTCCCTCAAGCAGAGCTGGATGCATCCCATCTGTTTGCATGCACTTGCATACATCCACTTTGCTTATGTCATCTCTAAGTTCTCTTCCATCAACCATGGGCAATGCTTCACTTCCTTGAACAGGGCTAGGGACACGGAAGGCCTGAGAGCAACCCTTGCCAGCTGTTGAGGCAAAAAGCAAGCCAAAGAATACACCAAACACCTCAACACAATCTATCACAAATGAAAGTCTTGTAAAGCAGCCACAGTGAAAAGATGGTGATTTGGGGTTAATATTCCTAGAATTCAGCTGCTGGATTTGCAGGTCTCAGAACTTCATTTTTCAAGCAGTCCAGGACTACACATCTTTCATATTTTGGTTAACCGGGCTTCCAACAAGACACCAGATAATGCTCTGCACAGAACGGTACTGTTTATGCACAAAGTCCTGCAAACATGGGTAAGTCCAATCAACCCCGCTTACAGCTGTTAGAAATAAAAGCCTTTGTATGTAAGATTGGGAAGCCAAATCTAGATGTAGGCACTGAAATTAAAGCATCAAAACCAGAAGGGCTGAATGCCCACAGCTTTGTCTATTCCTCATAGGAATTCAGGGGATTGGGCCTGACATTTCTAACTCATCATCACCAATAAATCAGGTTTGACTACTTCCACAGAGAGCCAGCAGTGCTGTTGGGAAGCGAATGCCATCACACACTGCAGACACATCTCTTTGGACAATCTAAATTGTTTAACTTCTTTGCAAGGCTAGCGTAATTGATTCTGCACTGGTCACTCTTGACAGCAGCGTAAACTAAACGCAGGTCGCCCAAAGACTGGGCTAATGCATTCATGGCACTGAATGATTTGGCATTTGGGCCAGTGGGAAAAAAAAAAAAAAACATGCCACCTTCTCACCATCTTCCTCCCTCCCCTTTGCTCTACCCTACCACAACCATCACTGCAAACAAACAACAACATTGTCAAGATCTAAGGAGTTGTCAGCTCGCATCAGAAGGAAGGCGGTGACACGACATGTCACATTACAGCGCCGGCGCTCCAGCTGGCTGTGGAGCTGTCATCATTAGCAGCAAGACGCCACTGGGAGCTGGCATAGCTGGAACTCGATGTAGACAGGCGTTTGCTTGTTACAGGTCTCTGTTTAAGATTCCAGAGCACAACAGACTGTCATACCTGATGTAGCATGGCATGTGCTGTTTGCACGTCTCAGGGTAGCTGATTTCATAAGCACGTTTCTTTTTCTGCTTCTGCACAAGCAGATGTAATTAAAACCCCAGTAGGCTAGATGAAACAGCTCAAGTAAACCCAGGGAGGGAAAAAAAAAAAATAAAATCCTAGGGTAGTCAGATAGGGCACATCTACCCTTTGTCACCCACCAAGAAGTACTCAAGGTATCTGCAGGCAAGCTGGTATGACCCATCAGCACCACTCTGTGCTCCAGCCCCAGAAACCAAACAGCTGCAGCCATGTGGTTCTCTCCAGCACCATTAGCTCCATCTCCTAAGGAGCCAGAGGACAACACCATACTGAATGAGAATATATTTCTATGCTTCGAGTCACTCCAAGACTTGCTGTCCTAGCTCTGAGACTGTAAAGATCCATCCTGTGGCTTGAAAAAGTTGAAAGATGAAAATTGTTTGACTTGCTGAAGAGCTGAGATTGCTGCTTCCTAGGGTAGCCATCATACAGGAACACACAGCCTGTGACTGTCTGGCCAACACTGCATATAAAACCTTGGCATACTTTTATCTGGCAGGCTATACAGATATAAGATACATCCCAGCAGGCTGGCTGCCCTGCTAAATATGTAGGAGAAGGAAAAAGACAAAAGCACAAATGGGTGAAAGTGCCACGGAAGAAAGTACAGGGGATGGAGGTGGTCCTTACTGTACACCTAGCACATCAGTTAGCAGTGAGGGAGGTAAGTGCAATAAGGATTGCAGCAGCCTTAAGAAGTACATACTACTGCTGTTGAACCAGGCAGATATCCATACTCAAATGAGAAATCCCAACAAGCTTCTATTCTGAACACTGCTAATAGGAAAACTGCCCACAAGCTTGAGTCTTTGCAGGATCGAACAGAAAAACGGAGCATTACAACTCGATTTCACACTGCTAAGTACCTTTTAGAGTGCATTATCTGTCGTTTGCTAGTACAAGGTGTGGGAGCCCAGAATCAATGAAGTCATCACCCATGACCTGGTTTTATTTTTAATGAAAATCTGCATGCACAAGGATGACTTTTGGATTCCCATCCAAAAAATTTCATTTGATAAACACAAAAGCATGACTTTCCACATGGCTGAGAGAAGCAAATTAAAATAGGATTTTCTGGTGGCTTCTCAATTCTAATTGCAATCCTCCTTTCCAGTTTCAGATTGTGCGGAATAAAAGGTTCTCAATTCTCTCCCTCAATCAGAGCACACAAGAGCTTTCTGCAGTATCGGCATGGCCAAAGATCAAATACAACAGCAATCAATAATTCCATATTTGACAGCAAATCATTGTAAATAACCAAAAGAAAACTGCTTTTATTTGAAAAGGAGTAACAGAGTTCAGCATAAAGGGTGAAATTCACTGCATTTAATGTCGGTACTCAAAAAGTCACAGCAATCAAGCTGGTCAAAAAGAGAGAGCTATCTACAAAGAACTATTTGTTGACCTTTGTCTTAAAATGGGAAGGATTGTTTTTTGGGAGGAATCTGGAGAGAGCATTGGTGATTGTCTCCTCTTTTAGAGGAATAATGGTTCTTGAGACACGTCGTAAGTACAGTGCCCATATATAAAGACTTAAATGGTACATTTTAAAGATGGAAGGAAAAACAGAGTATTTTTTAGATACCAAGATTTCTTAAATATTGTTTAGATTGAGATAGAATTGATTCTAGAAAGGCATTAAAGCATAATCTGAATCCCACATCTGCTAGTATTTTGTCCTAACCACTCTCCTATTTAAAAACATATCCCTGCCATATTGCTTACACTTTTTAGTGCCATTGATTCTTGCCAGGTTTTTCTGTATTAGAGTGACAGGCTCTATATTAAAAGCAGCAATACTGCTACATTTAGAAAGCCAGGAATTGAATGAAATCAATAATAGCCAAGCTTATTGGAGCACCTTATCATAAAACTCAAGACTTCACTGAATGAAGATGGCATATTTCTTCAAAATCTGGATAGCTGCTTGGAGAAAGACAATAGAAATGAACCATTCGGGTGAAAATTTCACTTCTTAAGTTGCTACAGAACTAGGCAGGTAGCTCAGTGAAGCAAAATGATAATTAAAAAAGCAAAACTCTCACAATACAGAAAATCTCCTGCTCTTTTTTTTTTTTTTTTTCTTTTCCCCAAGCCAGTACAATTTCTGAAGCCTTCTATATAAAGGAGCACACACTGAAGACTTACTTTGCTTTGAGTGTTTCCTCTTGGAAATTCCACTGAGGGTCTTCCACTAGCTGCAGTTCTCGTAAAACACTCCCTGGCTTGTAAGCTGCATTGATCACCATGCTCAGAACCTATTGAGACATAAAACCAACAACACTGATGGATTTAAAAGCAATCCTTGACCACGCTCCCTGGTGCTATATAAGCAGGAGAAGCTTACAGATGCCAATTTATGTTCAAGGATGCACAAGGTAAGTGTTAGATGCAATGAGAAGATGTCCCAGATTGAATCTATGTGCCAAGCATGTTGTGGATGACACTTTGGTATGATACCATGACTGCATTAAATGCTGCTGGCCAACCCCAAAGATCTCCCATTAAAGGAACGCCAGTGTTATTCCTTGAGACAGGCCCCCTCACCCAAAGCAGGTTCCATTCCCTGCATCCACAGTGGCTCAATTTATTAAAAAATGAAAACATCTCTGATGGCTCAGCCAGGGCCAAAGTCACGTGGGGGTTACACACTGAACACTAGATGGGAAACTCACGTACTTAAGGTTGGCAGTACACTTAAGCATCTGAGTGCTGCATGCCTTGACGGTATTCACAGAATATTAATGAAGTCTACACAAAAAGAGTTTGCAGGAGGTGTGCCTGAAACCCAGTATGTGTCCACTCTGTACAATAAAACGCATGTGCCAATCCATTTAATCCACAGTGTTTGAGAATAAAAATAATTCCTACTATTCACTCAGAAGATCCAAGCCTTAATAGCCTACACTTGGCCTAAGGAGATAAATACAAGAAAAACAAATCTCTTAATAGCACCAGATCATGTGTTTGAACACTCTGCATTGTATGCCCATGAATGACTCCACAATGAATCTGGATTGGTTTTGATATAAATTAGCTCTTTACCTAATGCCTGCTCTTAGTTCTTCAGGGCTCTTAAATGATTTCAGTATGATAAGCATTAAGTTTCCCTAGCACCCATGAACATGCTTCATATGGTTTTCATGAAAAACTGACCAGGTCATATTGCAAAGAGCAACGAGTTTATGTTAACATTTTTTTCTTCTTTTCCTTTTGTATGCTTTTCTTTAATAAGCCAGCAATCTAATGATTTTCTGGCATTTGGAAAACCTTGAAGGGTGGATAATTTTCAGGCAAGGGCTTTAATTCATGTTGCATAGTACCGTGTAAAACAGAAGTGGTTTGAGTAGCCTGTCTAGATTATTTAATAGAAGCAAAATTTAATTTATCGTTGGTCCCCTGGATAAACAACCGGAACCAGTCTTCAAAAAGATGTAATTAGAGACACTTAAAGCAATGCCTACTAACAGGACCCAATGCCTTATGCAGCTCTGATCACCTGCACATCTCAAAGAGTGCTATGAGCACACTCATCTCACACAAGGGGAAACTAAAATACAGATTTACCCACAGTTCTCCATCTGGTTCCTAACTTGTCACACAACCTGAGATTCCCAAGGGTTTTGATTCCCAAGAAAACAAAATAAAGCTTCTGAGCAACTCCATCCAGTTGCTCATTCACAACTTTTCTCATCTGCTACTCACCATACAGATGCAGCACTGGTATCTGAAACAGATAGGGAGACCCAATGCAGGAAAGACAAAAGTGGGTTTTCAAATAAACACCAAGTATATGGGTGGCTCCCACGCTCATTCACAACTCATGTGTTCCCCTCCTGCAAATCCAGGGGGTTATTTACCACCTCATCAGGTGTCTGCTGGGGACGGTCTCCTTCAGCACGCTTTGACTCCCCTGTTTGCTGGTGAAAGAGCCAGGAGCAGAAAGCAGGGGGTTCTTCCACACCAATTCCCATAAACAATGCTGCCCTGATCCTTTATCAGTGCAGTGGTGTTTGTATGAGTTGTCAAAACAGTTAGGAAGTGAGCAAGAAAAGAAAATCCTCCCCCACCCTTCAAATAACTGTTTGGCACTGCCTGAGCATTACCCTAGGCACCTAATCAACTCCAGCCCTGCAAAGAAACCACAATGCCAGTACTTCTCTCAAAGGTTGCTTGTCATTCATCAGGACTCTCACTGAACTTCTAAACACAGTTTTTAAATGAGTGTTTTGTAATAGGAGTCATTTCCCTTTAACAGAAGATTTTTTTTATTATTATTTTTTAAAAAAAGCATTAGCTGTTACTCTTCTTGTATCTCAAATTTAAGTCACTGGGTCTGGCATTTTACAGTGCAGCAGGAGTCCATTACCATATTAAATATGTTACCTTCTAACAACACTCTCTCTTAATATTACACACTGCTAAACACTAGGAAAAAAAAATATTACTTTTTTTCTTGCACAAAAATTAACTGGGATTAAAGGAAAAATGGTGAAGAAACCTATACCATTTTCCAGCTTTCTCTGGAGATGGAAAGTCCCTTCACTCACGTCATCAGAGATCGGTGGGATTTGCAAATTTCACATCACTCGACCCCTCTTCATTGATGATCTCAATCCTGGATGAAGCTTTCTCAGGAAATATCACTTAATGAGGTTATATCACAAAATAGCACTATGCCTCTTCTCTTCAAGAGCCCTACGACCAGCATCCTTCTGAGGAGAAATTCAACTTCCCTCCTCTATCTGTGAGTCCACTTCTACCTAACAGGAGAGACCCTAATTCCCAGGCTAGCCTCAGACCAAACAATAAGAAGTTGTTTTATTTTACTTGGAATAATGATGTATCTGCATGGCAGAGAAAGAAGGCAAGAAGAGCTATTTGTTATTCTTTCATTAGATGATCAAGCACTTAAAACTGAGCTTTTGCCTTAGTCCAGGGGGTAGCATTCAAGTGGTGACATGCTTACAACAGACTATGCCATTTCAAAAATACAGATGGCCAGATCCTAAGTTGGAGAATCTGCTATAGATGGGTTGAAATCCATGGAGCAGTCTTGAGGGCAACGTAAGTGAACCCTCTTGTATAAACGCAGTTTATATCTTTCTAGACTATAAAAGATTTTTGCTATCCCAACACATCTTATAACTAATGATAACACCATCAACATGACTCAATCATACACCTAAGGCTCAGTACAAGCTATGCAATTTTCCGAGCACCATGAATTAATTATGCAAATTTCTCCTCAGAAGTCATGTTGTGCTGAAAAAAAAAAAAATCAAGTTGCAGAATGTAATAGCATTCTTTCACAAATGCTGGCTCATTTTTCCAGTTTGCATCAGCTGCAAACACTAAGTCATGCTACCTTTAAGTCCATTTTCATCTAAATAGAAAAAGAGCAAAGTGTCTTAAAAATAGTAATAGCAGTAAGCAATGAGGCTAATTAATCTTTACAGCATATTTCCTTAAGATAGGGTGGGTTATAGATCATCCAGAGTCTTAAAAAAGACATCTCATTATGTTTTACAATGTTGCTGTGGTAAGTTGCTGGCACAGATAGAAGAACAGTTTGGTATTTTTAGATATTCTGCCCCAAGAACTGTATCTGTAGCTGACAGTGTGTTTATTTTAATTTAACTTAAAGTTTGTATTTATTACATATCTTAGCTACTATACAGCCACTACTTCTCAGCCCAGATGCAGCTGTTGGATGGCAGCAGTTGATGCCTCCACTGTCTCTTGGCTCCAAGTCTCAACTTTTTTTCCAAACAAGAATCTCAGGAATGAGATAAACTTTGAAGCTGATGTTAAACAACAGGCACTAACACCCTCACTTGTCTCTTGGGGTGAAGGAAGCCACAATAAACCAAAGGCTTGTGCTGGCACCAGGATTAATGCACCACCAGGCTTTAAGAAGGATGAGGCATCATCCAGCCTTTCATGGAAGCAAGGGTACATACGCACTAACAAACACAGAATTAAAGCCAGTGTTTTTGATCATACTATCAAGTAAGTTGTAATTGCTCCCAGAATTTTAGATAAATCTTGCTGAAGGTGGGCCATTCTGGGAGATACCTTAGCAGCTTCCTCATTGCAGAGCTCACAACCTCTGCATCCAACTCTGGGACAAAGCAAGTAGGCAGGAATCAGGGGGATTCTTGATGTGCTGGAGAAGAGGTGTTGCACAAAAGCAAACCTATCCATGCAGCTTCTCTCCCAATGACCCACATGAGAAAGGCCTAGATTATTCAACTGGAAGGAGGAGATCCTGCTCTACATTACAAGGGTATCTCCCAACCTTATTTAGACCAGAGCCAAGCAACCCATCGCTATCTCACTGTTGGTGTACAGCCTGGTAGCACCAATTTATTTGGAGCTGGATCCAGAATGATATTTCACTGCATCGCTGATAGATGTAAAAAAGTGACATGAATTCAGGGGAAAAAAATGTCTGAGGAGCGTGAGCCACACTTATATTTATTTATTTATTTTTTAATATATATATCCCTCATGGTTGAGTGCAGAGGAAGGCAGGGGATGGTGAGCTACTTGCTCAGCACCCAGCCAGGAGCAAGGTCTCCCACCACCTGATACTAACAGGGAGAGGACATCTGCTCTCTTCTTGTTTTAGGGAATCCAGGCCAGGGAATGGGGCAGGAGATGGTTATTCAGCTGTTTTCAGTCTGGGGTTTTCATCAGTGTCAAACACAACAGCATCTCTATCACAGAGGCTGCTGCCCACTGTGAACTAGCTCATGTCTGGCACAGGTTCAAATTTTAACTAGAACATCTCTAAAGGCAGAGAGCTGTGGCTGGAGACCAGGGTGATTTAAAAGGCTCCCACCAGACTGCTGATGTATCTGTTCTTCCTTCATAGCTGTTGTTTGGGGTTGTCTTTCCCACACTCCCCTGTGTGTTGCCAGAGTAAAGCACATGTATAATTTATCTATTCCAGACAAGTTATGCTGATGCATAATTTACAATGGCCTGTAATTCTCCTATATAGTGAGACAGAGATAATTATAATGCATTTGCATTCTCTGGGCCATGTCATCAGTGGGTATAAAGCCAGACAAAGCCATCAAGCTTTGTATTGAGACTGGGCTTGGAGGGATGGGGAGCTTTGCAGGCTCTGCAGCTCACGAAGCCTTGTGGCTGTGGGTTTGGGATGGAGGAGTTATCTCCTACACTGCTGTCAGCACTCAGCTCTGCAATCCCTTTGGGTGCTCTGGCAGCTGCTAAGATATTTAAGTTGTAGGTACATTTTCCTTGCTGCCTCTTGCCTCCTCCAGCTGCTTGGGTACACCCATGGTTCTCTGAGCTGCTGACACCTCTCTTGCCTTGGCTGATAGGAACCAGGTGTATTTCCCCAGTAGCAACACCCTGAATGTCTCCTCTTCACCCCTTCCAGAACCCAGACCTGGTCCCCATAGACCCAATGAACTTGGATTTATCTTCAAAATACCACTAAGAAACACTGGGACATTGCCCTGGTCCTGCTCCTGAGGAATCATTTATGGCTCCAAAAGCAAGATACTCATGTCTTGTTGACACTGCTATTTTTTCCTTCAACGAGGAATTCTGCAAGGAGTCAGAGCAGGGGGAAACTGGATTTCTGTAGGAAAATTAGTTTGGTTTCCACAGTCAATAATAAGTCCCTTTCTTGAGGAATTTGGAGAAGCTGGTGTTAGTCTATGCAACAAAGCCATGAGACATGAGGGGAGGACCTGGCAGAAGCTTTGCACTACTTGTGTTTCCAAAATCCAAATTCCAGGAGGAGAGGGGGAAGAAACATTAGCATACCCATTAGCTGTGGATGCCTCATGTTTCCCCCATGTTGCTTTTTCATTGCCTGGTTTTCAAGCAGCAGCAGATTGCTAACACTCCCCATCAGTACGCCACCAAGGACTGGCTTTCAAATTTGGCAGCTGTCAACTTGTGCTGTGCAACCACTTTATCCTGCTTTCTGCTGAGGGCTATTTTTGATTTGCATTTTTTGCAGATCCAAGTGTCCCACCTGCATAAGCAGCTGGATTATTGGGCTCTCTTGGTGGCCTTTTTTTAACCATGTGAGACAACTGGCAGTGCTGCTGTATGCAAAGCAGCATACAGAGGCAATCAGGGAGTGGGGACACGAGAGTCACTCTACAGTACAGAAGAAGCATGCTTTTGAAACTGGCGGGTAATATGGGAGAATCTCTCATTTCAGGTTGTTTCTGCCAAGGGATGAAATCCATCTCACTTCAGACATCTTCAAACCTCCTCACCACACTGGGCACCAAGGGTCTGGCAAATACGTCAGACCTAAAGGTTCCCCTGCCTTTCCTCTGCAAGCAGAGGGAGCTCAGATCCACGTCAAATGGGGTTCATACAGGTACAGATAAGAAAGCTGGAAGACCTAGATTACTAAAACACCCCAGTCAAGTTGAAATAGTGCCAACAGGACCAATGGCACCCTGCTTATCCAACAGGACCATCTTGTTCTCTCCCCCTTGAAGTCATCCTGCCTTTCATCTGTACATGTACAGTACACCAGTGGAAGCTGAGCACATCACACACCCCCATAGTTGGCTTTCTGTCCTGTTTCACGTTGAATCCCAATGATTTGAGTCCCATAGGACCACAGTCACACATACAAAGGTGTCCCCCATGCCAAATCTGCTGGCTCAACAGTAGTGCAGATGCTGCACTGCTTCTGCCAGGAGAAACAGGTTGATGGCTTAAACCACAGAGGTCCTCTTCATGGACAGCTCTGGCCAAAACAGTAATTCTCCTGCACAGCATTAAAACCCCCAATGCATACACATACCCCAATTTCCCAACTTGTAGTTTCGACCTGTGGAAGCTGCCACAGCATTCCAGCACAATTTTAGGTACCTCCTTATTAAATTCTGGGCCCAGCAACCCACAACCCAGGTTTTCCCCTGAAGTCCTCCCAAAAGATAGCTGAGCCATACCTCTTTAAGGACCAGCACGCACTTGCCAGGCCCGACAGACTGAGGTAGCTCTGCTATTCTGCCTTTGTTTAAATAAGGACCTGAGAAGCAGCGGTGGTTGATGTAGAGCTGAGGGACAGCAGTATCTCCCATTGATGGTGCCTGCAAGGAGAAAGTGGCGTTGATGTGCATTTACACTTTGGGACAATAAATCAAGGGTCCTTCTTCTTCCTCCACGATGGGGGAAGGAGGAAGAAATAAAATGGGGGTCATAAAAAGTCTTCCCTAAGAATTAAGGTAGAGAAGCCTCTGCTACTTGAATTCATTCAACACAGGAAGATTAATTGCTTTTAATGGTAACTAATATGGCTGCACACTCTACTGAATGGAGAATCAGGAAGGAATTTTGTTCAGTAACAGGACCCAAGGCTCTATCATAACTCACATTGCAGATGAACATGAGCAACTCAATTGCAACATGCTATGAAGTGAACATGTTAGTTGTTTCTGACCAGACATGTAATCAGCTCAGGGAGAAAATTCAGGTGAAAGGCTCCACCATCCCTGTTCAGCTGCCCTCCAACCCAGTAAGAACTTGGATACTATTCCCCTGAAATGACATGGGTCCTAACAAGCAGTTTTGTGTATCTGGGCTAATCATCCTGGGCTCCTTTACAACCCATGGAGAGAAGCAGATACTTAAAGACACCATCCAAATGGCTGTCCACAATAGCTCAGATGATCATACCCAAAAAGAGCCCATTTGACTACATTTGATTATGACAGAGCACTGGGCTGTTGGCTCAGATACTGATATGTGTCCTATAGATATATGAAATAAAGTGAATTAAATCCTGCCTTTCCTGCAGTGTCTCCACAATTAACTGGATGAATATTGTACTCTTGGTGCCTCTCACCATCACTAAATCGGAGGAAAATTTACCTTTAGCAGAAGTAGCAGCCATACCACATAGTCATGATGCTAACACCGGGACACATGAAGTCCTGGTGTAAGCAATTTAATAGATGACAATTAGAAAGCCACATCCATCTCCACCAGAGCTTCTGGCCCTAACATCAGCAGCTGAAATAGGCAAGTTGTATGGGAACCCCAATAAACCCAGCAAGACACAGTGTTCCCACACAGAGGACTGGACCCTCCATCTGAGACTCCCTGCACTGCTTTGTAGGTCTGCACCCCCTGAGGATGTGACCCTATCTCCCCACCCGTATGACACATTCACTTCTTTTTTGGGGTTTTCCCCCTCCATAAAGGCAACGGACCCTTGATATCCCACTGGTGTCAAGCAGCCTTACCTGTTGTGTCTGGCTGAGGAACCGGGCAGAGGTCATGAGGTATTTTCTCAACAGGCACTGTGGATGGTAACCTGTTAAAGAGCAATTTGGAGTATTTACTAAGGTTAAATGGGGCAGAACCAGCCTTCAGGCTGGACTGTGACACACACCACCATCTGCCTGGAGTGAGGACTGAAGATGCAACAAACGCAGCCCTGCTTCCACTCATTTTATCATAGCCCAGAACCTGCATATTGCAGAAGGTGCCAGACTGACCCCTCCTCCAAAAATGCACCCCAGTCCATGCGCTTTAGCTCTTTGGACTGCAAATATTCACATTCAAGTCCTTGAAATTCTGGTTTCTGGAAACTGGAAGGGTTAGACAGGGAAATGCTCTCCTGGTGCACTCCTGTCCTTCCTGGGTATCCCTTACTGGCCTTCAGGCACTGGATATGGTTGCACAGTCCCAGCTAGCAAAAATTTCTTTTACATAGACTTTCTAATATGTTCACAAATATTCTAGATTTAAAGGAATTCCATTGCAACTATGCTTATAGTATCTGGGTGGCAGTGAGCAAACTCACTCAGGTGCTGTGTATCATTTCCCCTGATGAATCACCATAAAAATATCACCTTAAAAAACAAAAACTTACTGCTTTTCTGGTTGCACAACTGCAATTCTTCTCTTCCTTCGCACTGCAAAAATGAAGCAAGAATTAGTTTTGTGCTCTTCTGTCCTATAAAATACACCCATAATGCACAAAAAGCCGTATAAATGCACTGACTATAACACAATGAAATGGTACTTAATTACTATCGCCATCTTTTCCTGGTATTTTTAAGTAAGTCACTACATCATTAAAATCTGCTTTAAAGATGTAATAATACATTTAATCCTTCCTCTGGAATGCTAATATTGTGTTTTATGGGATCAATATAAAAAAAATTAAATAAAAACACAAATATTTTTCCATACAGAAACACATATGGATAAGATTACATTTTACAAGCATGATTACCTCCAGCATAATTTATCCCTAGCTATAAATTGCGATAAGGCTGCATAATGTTGCCATAGCAGTATTCTCCCAAATTAGGCCCTGGCTGCCTGATTTTTAACTTAAGCATATTTAACTCTTCAAAAGGGCTGACACATTTTTAAATTTGCCTTTCAGATGTTAATTAATGTAAACAGCAAGGCTAATTTTTCATCTGGTGGCTTGAGATCAGGGTTGAGTAGTTTCTGCAAGGAACGGGAGAACAGCACCAAGCCACTAGGCACTTATGAACTGCCTTCAAATGTGAAGGGAAAGGGAAGAAATCAGTCTTAATACGCACTGGAGGTAAGACAAAACACTGTGGACTTGATTGTGCCAAGTGAGACTTAAGTTAAACACTCGGAAAATCCCTGGACTCATAAGGGCAGTGAAATAGGATAGATACCCTGGGAAGGTATAGAAGCTCCATGATAAGAGGCCAGGAGACATTTCTCAATTTAGGGAAAGCTGTTTTGGAAAGGTGGTGCCAGGATGGCCTCTTTATGTCCCTTCAGGCCTATATTTTATGTTTGTGTGTGTGTTTTTCTTTTTTTTTTTTTTTTTTTTGAAATTTGAGGTCCCATACCCCTAATTCACTCAGTTGCCTAACTCAACTCAGCTCAGCACAGCAAAACTTGGTTTCGTTCTGACAACCCTACTGCAAACCCACAAGCCACACTGTGCAATCCCAAACCACATAATGGCCTTTCCCAGTGCTAACCATCCCATTTTTAGAAAGACTGAGCACATAGACAAGTACAAATTACGTAATAGCAGTGCTGCAGCATCTGGTCACTAATTAGATTTATTACTGCTTATTACAGCATGCTTGCAGCCTGGTTACTAGTCCGCTAGTTAGGTTGGTAGTTTCAAGAATTGGATTAGAGGCTTAATCCAAACTCCCTGATAAAACTGTTGATACGATATCTGTTCTGCTTGAGGTTTCTATATACTTACAAACAGCTTTGTGTGGTGGAGTTAGGTTATAAGCATTCGCTTCACACCAGCCAACTGGGAAAATGTCCATAGACTCTACATCAACTATATACTCTGGAGAGGGCATCTGTAAACCTATAAACACAAATTTATAATGAAATTTGGACATGAGCTCAGAGCCACTCAAGCATTCATCACGAACCAAGGGAAGCAAATGATGGAACACGTAAAAATAAATCTGCTTCCCTGCATCAAAATCAGGCATCATTTCATCTTCAATTTTGCAAAGACAGCAATGATAAGGCTGTTGCATTTACAGTGAAATGTGATATCGGAGAAAACCCACATTAAGAGCACACTAGGGGTGTGTAGTAAAGCAGCCAAAAGCCAGTGAGGTTGAACACGCATGACTTTCCCCAATAAGACAGCCTGACTCACCCATTGGCTCTCTCGTAGAAGTTACATGAGCAAAGTAGCAGAAGGACAGTTGGGTGCTTACTCTTACTGGTAGGAGCATGCCCATGGGATATAATATAATGGCAGCAAACATGATAGGTCTTTATGCCTCCTGTGCTCCCCTGAAGCTTTTCTGTGTAGTTCTGCCCTCAAGCCACTGTTTTTGAAGGTGGGAGATGGCCACTCATCTGCCTAGAGGTACTAGGAATTCTCCTAATGCTCCTTACAGCACATGAAACTTGAGCTGATCACCCAACAAGGCAACATAAAAGCCCTAAGTGGGATAGATGCACTAAGATCTCTGACATAGCACTGGCTCCAAATTCTCACGGGAAATTTCCACCTAAAGCCAATCTCTTCCAGCTTGGTTATTACGTCTCCTTCAGAAGACACTTGCCTGTCTTGGTTTACTTGGGTCTCACTCAAAGCCCACTGTCTTTGAGGTCTTTCAGAAACAACTGCGGGCCCTGAGTAAAGACACCATTTAATGACTCCAATTCAACTCCATCTGTGCTCGTACAGCCTCATCAGCAACTTCCTGCCCCTCTACCATTTCCACACTAGGACCAGCACCAGCATGAGGCAATCTACTAATAAAAGAGACCAAAAGATTAGCAGCTTCCCCTGCAGCATCCTCACTTCTGCATCTGTTACAGCATCTTTGCCTCCTGCTTAGTGCAGCAGCGTTTGGCTGCGCTCAGCTAGATGACTACGGGGAGCTTCCCACTAATGAATGTTCATCAAGAGCTTGCAGTGTAATTGAAACAGTAATTGAACTTTGTGATGGGAATGGCATCAAGACTGAGCTGCAGCACTTGGATTGGTCTTGTCCCTAGCAATAAACTTGCTGTGCTTTTGAGAGTGTGAGGTTGTACTGAAAACCAAAGGAAGCAGGAAACTTGGTGCTAGTGTTTAGAATGCTAGAGGAAAAATTAAAAATAAAAATTTAAAAAAAAAAGCAGTCACGTTGTCTGCATAGATTCATTGATGTCTTCGTGGTATTCTTCTGAGCCCTGCATCATGCTCATGCATCATACCTTGAAGACCTGGTCTCCTTCACCAGCATACAGGGAAGGGAAGAAGAAAAGATCAAGCCATACAATGCAGGATGCAGCCTGGCATTCCCTGGACAATCATTTACCTCCATGAGGAAATACCAAATGGTCACAGCTCAGCTTGAACCTGACAGAAGATGCACTTTCCAGTATGCAAAGCATTTTCACCTAATGCCACAAAGCCAGCCAAGGATCAGATGTGAGAACTGCTGAAGTCAGAGGTGAGACATTCACAAGGTGAGCAAGCAATGGATCAAACCATAAATAGAGCAAGAGATCAGCACACTGAAATTTCAACAGATCTAGGAAAATCTACTGTTTTAATGACTGTAACTGTCCTACGGTGTTATTCTGACTCAATAAACAAATGATATGTACCTTCCTGCTCACAAACAATAGACGTGGCATGAAAACTGTTTTTACCAGCTGCAGCTGCCCTGACGAGCAAGAAAGAACCATAATGTCTGTTCTGCTGCAACACCACTATTCTTCTTGTAAGACATAATCACAGCTATTCTGGCCTCGCTTGCACTGCTTCTTCCCTTTGGCAATCAATAATCCTGCCTTCCACTTCCGACATCTCACTGCTTCATTTGGACTCACTCGTGTAAATGGAAACCAGCTTGTTTGGAACTCATTAGTTTCATCTGCTGCATTTTACGCTGCCATCTTGCCAGACCAAGAAATTTCTGTGAGACTTGAGAGGTTAAATGGAATAGTAGAGAGCAGGGAGACTGGAAATAGGGTGAGGAAAATTTCCATCTCCCATTACAAATCTTATAGGATGGGCAGAATAGTGCAGCAACTCTGGAAAACTGTCAGAGGGAAAATTATGGAACACCTCTCTGGAGAAGCGATTAACAGGAGAGTTTTCCTTAAATTCCTAGTCTGTGCAGAGAGGGTACATTATTACTTGTATAAATTCACACCAGAAAGTTTCAGCCTTAAAATCTAAAATGAACCCGTAAAAATTAACAATGCAGATGATGAGTAATAAAGTAGCAGCAAGTGATGGGATGTGCACAGCCTCGGATCAGCCCTGTACTTCTTTCCGTCCACAGGGGAACTATACTGCTGCTCATTAAATGCTTGCCCTGAAGTTTACAGAGTTTTGCTACTGTACAAAGCATGATTTATTAAGCAATGTTCCCTCATGTCTAACTCGATGCTGCTTAACTACTGCGTCCTGTTTTATGGCTGCAGTTTGGGCTGTCAAACAGTGAAACTGGGAGGGCAACAATGAAAGCTTCAGACGTGCCCGTGATAAATGGTGGGACCCAAGGTCTTCAGCGATGGGCTCCCATGGCAGTTGGGAGTCTTGCTGCTACCAGAATATAAATAATCAGTTAGAAACAATAGTGTATTAATGGAGTTGAAAAAAAAACAACATGCCATCGTCCAAGCCACATTTATTTTACAACTGTGCAAGCAGTGTTCTGCATTGTGTTTTTTTTTTTAATGCCTAGTTTTAACCTAACAGTATGCATACTGCAGTCACGAATTTCAACAGCAGCAAAGCCTTTTTATTTTTGCAGTCTTTTGCATCTTTTCCTTTTACTACAGATCATTCTATTCCTGGTATTGAGATATAAAACAAGTGTAAAGCATTTATATAGAAGAACTCAAAAGGCAAGGAGATACACACAGGATTTTTATGACAAGTTGTAAAAAAAAACTTCCTTTAAGAAATTAAAAGAGTAAAAAGGCGGAGAGAAAGCAACAAGGGAAGGGAGCAATACATGTGGCTTTCTCTCTGCCTTTATTCAGGGCCTTGGAGGACTGGTTGATTTAAAGACCCAAGAAACAGCATTCCTTGTTCACTGTAATGGGTAGTTTAGTGAACACAGTCCCTTTGAAAGTATTACAGATTAAGAAAAAAAAAAGATTCTGAAAGATTCCCAGACCCCATCAAATCCATATAGAATAGTGAAGGCACCTCCCAATATAAGAAGGGCATTTGTGAAAATGGGCCAGATTCTTTGACCACATGGGTGTAAATTCAACAATGGTATTAGTGAAAAGTGAATTTCAAGCAACCATTAATTCCAGTTCTTTCGTAAAAATATCTACAAGTGTCCAGAACAGGCTGCAGATGGGCTTTAGCTACCATGAGTCTGAAGGCAATTGGTTTTTACAGATGAAAAAAACAAAGCCTGCCATTGCATGATGCTCTACCAAAAGCAGATGTACAAAGTTGTACCTGCTCTATACACTGGAGACAAACACAGAGGGGTCAAAGCTACACGCTGGGGATAGAGAAGGAAGAAGATCTCCCCAGATTTTAGCCAGCCCAAGTTGCAGGGCTTAGCAGCAAAGACAAAACAAGCACGAAGGAGTTTGCCTGCCAAGCTTTAGATCAGAAGGAATCTCTCTTTAGGCAGCAATTGAGTTATAAATCTCTGAGAAAGGGATTTATCACAGAGGCATCGGGAGAACCTTGTCTACCATATAATGCTATTTCTGTAGAGCTAAATGCCACAGAACATCTGCCTTTGTTACATTTCAGAACAAGCTGCTAGCACAGATGAGGTACTTTGGGTTACATGTCAACGTTATTACTAACTTTAAGGGCTTTGATCTGAGACCTTTCCTCTTGTACAAACTGCACTGCACATTGTCAGGCGCTGAAATACTTCTTGGGTTATTACAATCAATGCACCATGGTGCTGAAGGGAAAAGTAGCTCCCCTGCACCAGGGGATGATGAAGCTGTCAGCATCAGTCTGGCTTTCAGCGTTCTCCCAGCCCCAGAAAAATGAGAGCTGAGTATCTTGCAGAGGAGAGAAGGTGACTTTTGTGCAGAACATGCATGAGACTTCATATCCCATGGGATCTCTGAGGAAACCCCTTGTCCTGACCCCTGTAGGTCTGTCCTTTCCTGATTATCATGTGCCTGAGTATGGTTTGTACCCCATTAACATTTTCCTAGCTGTTCTACCCTGGAAGAGTCAAAAAAACTTGCAATAATCTTTGAGAACAAGGCTCCATACTGCTTTCACAAAAACAATCCTGACAACCGTGTGGCTTTAATGTATTTCGGCGTGATTACTGAGCCAGCATCCTGCCCCCGTGGGCCATCACAGAAGAAATGGGCAACTCCTTTCCTCGTTCCCAACTCCCACTACAGGGTTCCCATGGAGCTTGCAGGTGTCACTGGCTTTAGCAAAGGAAAGATGCTCTGTTTCCTTCTGATTTTGATCTCTGCAGGCAACCTGTGTCTGTAACTGAGCACAAACTTAATTTTTCCCCATCCCTTCCTCTTCTTTGGAGCCTGGGATACCAACAGCATGCACTACTCCTTTGGCTGCAGATAAGACCATGCCTTGCTTTCCTTTCAGATCACTGAGAAAAAAAAGTCACTGTGTTTCCTGGGCTTGTATGTAGCAAGTGTTTAAAAGAATGCTGCTCTTTCATCAGCCCCATCTCTCACAGATGCATTGAAACACCTAGTGGCATCTATCAGCTATGCATAAACAGAGCTACACAGTTTCTACCTATCAATACGTGGCAGCAAGCAAAGGAGTGAAGCCATTTTATCATCACCCCTTCATCATGACAGCTTAACCAAATGCACTTTATTTTCCAAATGGGAGGGTTACAGCAAACCATTCCCTTTTGACTGTGTCAGGGCTGGCAGCACAAGGCAGACACGAGCATGTCTTCCCCATGCACTTATCCAGCAGCAGAAGCACAGATCGTACAGAGCTTGGTGATGGGCAGGACTCCGGGCCACCTGATGTGCCTTTGATATTTTTGTGGCTACCCAGAAGAAAGCAAAGAAACATATGGCATTTGTAGTTGATGCTGACCCAATTACCATTGATTTCAGAGAGAAAATGAAGCTCTTATATTGACTGTAGATGAAGTTAGCAGCCTCTAACAATAGTGTGTTAGTTTGATGGGTAAAAATTAAAATATGTTGTGACAAGGACACCACAGCTTTATGGTTTATCACAGTGCTCATCAAAACACTTAAATAACCATGGCTTTTTGCTCTCGTCTCAGTGATTTTACAAATAACGCTGTTTTTAAAGCAATAATAAGAAGAAACCCTCTGCTGTTCTAAATTACCCTAATTTCAGACGTCCTTGCTCAGATGAATTGAGGTAAAAGAATTTCCAAGAGTAAAACCACCTCAAAAATGAGCTCATCTATACCTCACTAAAGAAAAGGTAAAAATGGAGGGTTTGATACCAGATTATGCCCTACTACTTTTTCAGCATTCTCCTAATACTGCTTGTAAGGTCATTGTATTTTCCACAGGCTGACAGCTTTCTAAACCCTTTATTATAGTTACTGCCCACAAAAGCTCTCTTAGGTCAATGAAAGAAGTGAGACAATCACAGAGTGGAAGGATGTGAGCAGGCAATGGCCACAGTGAGGAACAGCACATGTTGCAGTATGGATCTAGATGGAGAAAAAGCAGTGGAAAGAACAGAAAAGAAGGAAGAAAGGAGGTTGCAGGAGGACAGGCGATCCCACAAGAGCACGTTGGAAATATCAGTGGAAGTCTCAGCCATATCAACAAGGCAGATGTCCCATCCATTCCTAGGACAGAGATTTATCATGATGGCAGTGAGATTTATACAGTCAACAGGGGTCACTGATAAAGTCCCTGTGGCTGGGAGGGTGGAAGGTCTTGTAGCTCCCTCCTGGAGAGAGCAGGGGAAGACAATTCTCAAAAACTTATATTACTGGTTAAAGTGTATAAAAAGGCAAGGCTGAAGAAAGCAATATTGGGTAGAGGATAAAGGACAAAACAGGGAGGGTTTGAGGGAGACACACAAATACAAGAAGCCTTTACAGCACGTACCTTCAAGGTGAAGCCACATTAACCGTCCTTTAACTGAGGTGATCGAGGCAACGCATATCTCTGCAGGGTTCCTGGGGTTCACTGCCTCCAGCTTCATATTCTTTGTAAAACCACGACTGAAGGATGTCTGAAAGAGTCAAGGACCAACACTGGAACATGGCATTGCAGCACTGAATGGCTTTAAATAGACAGTCTGCTGGGAAGCATAGCATTAGCACCTTCTGCTTTTTGCTCTAAGTGCAGGAGACACTGAAGAACCCAAAGGAATCAGGGTTTAAAATGGAGCTACCCTGGAAATGCCTATGAAAACGTCAATGACGGTGACAAATCAGGGAGCAATGCAATTCATGGTTTACACCAATCTCTAACTCTCTGAGACCAGGAGAAGGTTAATCCACACCAGCAAAGCCAGGCCAGAGGTGGCTGCAATGGTCCCCAAGTCAGTCAGAAGGAAAACATGGGGTCACGAGCTTGTGAGAATGCAACTCTGTCCCTTCCACTGGTCCCCTCTCCCTTTGCTTAACTCAAGCGTTGTTTGGACTGTCCCAGCTTTGCCCAGAGCACAGATCAGCCTCACGCCACAAAAACCAGACCTGGCCAGGACTGCAGAAAAGCAGGGTGAGTTTGTTTAAATGCTCGTTATGTAGCCTAACAAGGAAACCTCATTTATCATCACACTGCCTCCTTTCACTGCAGCTCAGTGCTGGAGGCTAATTTATACAGGATCAATGGCAAAACAGTTAGCTGGGAGTTTATTTTACTAAGCATTTGGTCATGTCAATCTATTTCATAACTGCCTCTCCTTGTTAAACATCCCCCCTGGGGAAACAGCTACAGCATAGCCACTTCCAGCACCACGTCTGGCTGCACTAGGTGGGAGATGTGCCTGCAAAAAAGGCTTCTATCAAAGAGCTGCTCACAGACACGAAACAAATGGACCAACCTGGCAGGGAGGTAGCCCAAGCGACAACAGTAAGATTGCTTCTCTCTGCAGAGAACTTTGTTATCAAGAGTGAAAGAATAACAGACGTGTTCATCTGATTAATGTTTCTTTGAAAAAAAGAGGAAAAAAGAAAAAAGGAAAAAAAATAGTGCTTAGTCCTGATCTAATCTTTGGAGAATATTACACAGAGGCTATTTTCAAGGCTGCTGGTGTTGAGAGCACAGATCTATTACTTGAGAAAAAGGAAGGAGATAAAAAGTAAAGGGAGAGTGCTTGCAGAAGTGAACATTTTCCACTGTATCAGTGCGAAGCAGCACTTTCAAAAATCTTCACTTGAAGTCCTCTGAGGCAGAGGGTTTTGCACAGGAAGGTACAATAAATGGGGCAAAGAAAACCTAACTCTGATTTTATTCCCAACGCAAACTCTGTTGGTGGCACAGGTCTTCTGAATTCCTCTATAAGAAGTTTTCAAGTCATCAGTTCACCATCAAAGGTTTATTCCAGGCCAGGCTTGGGCCACTATGGATGAGGAAGGCCACTTCACAGCCCCCATGTGCCATGCAGTAACATGGGTGGTGTGATGTGGGACTGCCTCTGCTCTGCTTCTGGGAGAGAGAAGAAAAGCAGGGAATCTCACTGAATCAGGTCAGGACAAGAGTAAAATCATTTTTTTCTCTGTTAGAGACAGACCTGAAACACTTTTCTGGCTTCCTTCCTATGACAGACTCTTGGGGGACCTCCCAGAGTCTTGCTGCAGTTTTCCCGTGGAAGCAATCGTGTTTTATGTGGTTTGGCAGGAGCAACACGGAGGCAAAAAGAGAGCTTACGTTTCTGAAGCACTGGTGAGGCGCCGCCTCCGCTCCGCACTGCTTCTGGTAATCGGCCCAGTCAAAGTCCTGGCCAGAGTAACCTGCAGGACAACAAGACAGAAAAAAAGTGCTATCAGCCACCGCTTCATGTCAGAGGGAGAGCACAAACTGGGTGCTGAGCAGGCAACTTTTTGCATTTCAGCATCCCACCATGTCTCAGTGAAACGTGCAGGACCAGCAGAGCTCCCTGAATGCCCGTTCATACATCCTGAGGGCAACGCCAGCGCTCCTCCAGCACCCATTTCTGCATTCCCCTTTGAAAACTTTATGTCTTTATTTAAAAGTAATAAAATATATACATTTTCCTTATTTTCCCTTTCCAGTGACCATCTCTCAGGCTTTAATAAACATGTAGCTACCAAGAAGTGCTACTGTCTCTGCTTTCCATGTGGGGCTAGCCATGGAGCTCTTTCTCCTTCCTTTAGGTACCTAAAAGATGGAGCTGTGGAGCAAGACATCAAGGGCAACATCAATCCCTCAGCGGGCAACAGAAGAAGGCCAGCACAAACAGAAGCTGATCCACCTCCTGTCTCATACCACGAGAAAAACTCTCCTCTCTTTTCATTAGTATGGATGTACCCTGCATGACTGACTTTCCTGCAGCTCAGCATACATGAGTTGAATCCCACTGCAGTCAGCATGTTACCCAAAGTCATACAAGAACCTGAAGCACAGCAGGAAAATGAACCCACAATTCCCAATTCCTAAAGTCTCAGCAACCAGATGATCCTTCCAGCTTCTGGTTCTAGGGAAAAATGGAAGGGACAGTGATTTACAGGGGCAGCTCTCAAACAGTCCCATCACGGAGAGACAGAATCTCTACTCATCCACACTTCTTCGTGGCTGTTCATGCAATAAATTCCTGGGAAAGAGGAGTCTTTTTTTTTTTTTGGTTGCTTTGTTTTGTTGTTTGCTTGATTAATTTTAATCTCTTTCTCAGCCTAAGTTTTTACGGTGTTTCTTATCACCAAGTGCTAACCCTGTCCAGGGCTCTGGGATGATGCTGTAATAACATTATTGTAGAACTACTCTCACTGGAAAGTTTCAGGAGTCATCTAAAGGCCAAATTCTCCCCTTAATCTCCCTGTCTGGCATTTCAGCCTGGACTCAATCTTACAGAACATCCCTTAATGTCTTTTTCATTGACAGTCAAAAAGGGACACTCAAGATCAGATGGGAATGAATCATTTATGACAGTGAAAATTGTGATTTTTTTTGTAGGCAAGAAAGGACTGGAATACTGAGTTGTAGTCACTTATCCATCACCCAGATCCAAAAAAACAGATTTAAAAACTTTGAAAATGAAGTCCCAAGCATCCTGCTAAGACGCAAGTATCTGGGACAAGAGGAGCTTCTAAACTTAATGACTGCATTCCTAACAAACAAATTAATGAGATAAAGCCTGGAGCAGAAAGGGTCCTAAGATGCCTGTCTCAGTGGGACATGAACACGCAATAGTAAAACACAATAATGATAGGAAAGCTAGAAATAAACACGCACAGGGAAGTATAAAAGGGCCATCACTTACAGAGAATATTCAGTTTTTTCCTATGAAAGAACTCCTTGTATTATTTTCACATACATTAACAACCAATTCCTACAAGTGTTTTCTTACTGCTGCTTTTCCATCTCCTTTTTCCTCTCTAGTTATTTGCTTGCCAGATACTTTTCAGCTTCATAAAATGAAATGGGAAACAGGAGGAGAAGCGCACATCCTATCAGAAGGGATTCATCTGATCACATACAGATGTTTGCAGAGCCAGTGCCTAGAGCTGTGTCTGTCATCCTGGGGCTTCCTTGAAGAGTCGATGGAGAAGTAGGCAGATCTAGAGGTGATCTGTCTGTCCTCCCTTAGGAGGAGCAAAATCACTCTGCAAAAGTCCCTTTCACACTCCATTGACTCCAAAGGCAGTTATGATGATGGACTCGGATGGAGACAGCCACAGTGCAGTTATCCATACTAAGTAATATCAGGCTCACCCCATGATGCTCCCAGGGACCCAAAAACCTTCCCACACCCTGCATGTTCTCATGTCTCTGATTAAAACCCCTCATGAACAGCTTTTGACTCTTCATTTTGACAGAATGGATGGGAAAGGCACGCTGACAGGGTTTCAGCAGGGTATAAAAACCTTACAGCTTGTCACACACAACCTGTTGGCTTGGCCATGCACTACGCAAATCTCTGCAAAACCCTTTGCTGGAGACTTCAGTTGGAACAAAACCCAGGAGGGCAGTTAGCTGTAACTCACTTCAGCAGCCCAACGAGGACTGCTCCAAGAGGACCATACACAAGAATAACCTTCAACCAAACCTGGACCTCTTCACAGAGCCTCATGATGTAAGGTAAATGTGTGCCTGCCCTCATTAGCACATGGCATCCCCATACTGCTATCCTTTAAGGCTCAGCCCACATAATAATGTTCAAAGCTTGGCTTCCATGATTCACCTACTGCCCCCTAAACATGTACAACCTCATTGCGACTGCAATCTTGACTCTCAGCAGTTTAATCAGAAATAAATGTAACAATACAAACGTAATGGAGGTTTTGGAAATGGTATTTCCTTAGTAAGCCTCATAACTAAGAGTGCTACTGCAGTGTTTTTCCCCCTCTTAATAGCTCATAAAAAGGAACAATGGTTGCCACTCTAAAGGGAAGTGGTCTATAAATCCAGCTCCAATAAATATAAACAGTGCTTGTTCAATGTTTATACACCAGCAGTAAATGGGTATTCATTTTTGGCACTGTACAGGAAAATACTGCTCTCTGTTTCTAGTAGCAAATGTTTGCACCTCCTGTTCATGACTCATCTACTACATGTTTGGTTTCAACACAGGCCTGACAGGCAAAAAAGCAAAAGAACAGATATTAAAGAAATAAAGGACTCTGAACCCAAATATCCCAACCTGCCACACTGTTCTGATGAAGTTAAATCAGTTAATTTTAAAATCAGAGAGCCTCCCTGTCAACCATAAATAAACCCAAATGAACAAGCCCAGAATACAGCAATGACACTTCCCACCAGGAGGAAAAGGACTTCTGTGGTTTTCCCTTGTCATCTGCTGCTCCATGGGAATTTTTTATGCCTTTCAACAAGGAGAGCCACTTAGACAACACTAAATTTTCTCAACATTGCCAAGCAGAAGCACTGTCAAATCTGCATTAAAAAAAATAATAAAAAAAAAAGGTAATTCTGGATGTCCCAGAGCAGGTAGAACCATTCAGTGGTTTGAGTGGAAATGGTGGGATTCCCTCCTCCTTCTACAGACCAACTCAAGAGCAGTGTTGCAGCCCTCCCATATCAGCCCTGATTACTTCTTTATCCAAAGCTGATATTTTTTTTTCTCAGAGAAGACCTCAAACTTTCCATCTGCTTTTTTTTTTTTTTTTTGTTCTTTGGTTGTCTTTTTCAGAAAGCACTCCAATGCCTACTCAGATTTTAGTAACTTGAAGTGCGTGTTTGCTAATGGAAGAGTTTTTTGACACTGTAAGTCCTAAGATGTATTTTGGGCATGCAGTCCCCATTCACACTAGAAGAAAACACATATTTTGTGCATCTATATAACACTTGCTGTATACTTCTTTTAATAGCTTCTCTCCATGATCTCTGATCTGACAACAGAAAAGAAGGACTTTCTACACTTTCTCATCCCAGATAGACCCTAATCACCAGACATCACACCAAATGCTTCCCTTTCTGCTTAGACTTTACTGACCAAGTTGAGAAGTACGTTAGGACAGGTAGAAAGATGCTACAGACACTTCTAAATACATTGGTGTCTAAAAGAGAGTGCATGTACACCTGACCCATAATACACCACCTCAGACAGGCTTTGTACCAGCATGGACTGGAAATTATTAGGCCATGACCTTTTAAAGAGAAATGTCTGGCCTATGGTTTACTTAAGTTAATTAGCTGGCCTGGGGGAAGCTGCATGTGAATTTGTGATGGAAAAAAAATAATCAAATCCATACAAAACAAAACAAGAAAACACTGAATTTACTTCCATTTTTAGCAACTTTTCTGGCCAGGGAGCACTTACACAGGTATTGTCATTACACTGAAATTTAAGCAGGAGGAAGATAAAGCATCCACAGAGTACATTTATTTCAGTAAAAGCAACAAATTAATCATAGATACACCATATACAGCTGCACGCACAGGGCTCCAGGACTTTGGTGAGAATTTCAAGTTACAATCTATGTAAGAGGACTCTGAATCTGACAGGGAATAACCCTTCACTTGCTTGGGATTAGCAGAAGCATATTTGTATGGGTGTATATATATGTATACACACATAATTTCCCTAAATGAAGACAAATATACATGTACACAACTTCATAGGATTTTTTTTTGAAGCATTTCTTTTTCTCCCAAGCAATGCCATTTTTTGGCAAAAGTTCAACACCCTGACCAGCTTCAAAAATCCAAAATTCCAGAGAGCCAATGCATTTTGCAAGTGAAGAAATATTGCTAAGGCACTGCAGGTGGTTGTCTGAAATTGGAAGTAATTAACTGCACTGCTACAAAGTTGGGAAATAGCACGGTTGGAGGCTGTTTCTCCTAGCTCTAACCTGAGAACTGCGCTGAATCTGTGCTCGCCTGGATTTTTTTGAGACAGCTAAAGAAATGTCTACACACTCCTGGCAGGCAGTTATGAGCTTACTGGTGAGGCACAAGGTGATTTCAATACAGGAGATATTTAGATTTAGGAGCTTTGCTTCATCTCAGCATTGCACCTAGGGGGATACTGTAGTGGAGCTGCCTGGTTTGTCTCTAACATAATACGGCTTTTAATGCTCCTCTTGCACTCTGCACACACAAAGCAGCAGCACGATGCATTTTACAGGAATTTCCTAGGCTTCAGTGCAGCTTGCTTCTGAATTCAAAGCACATGGACATCAATCTATCAACAAGACACGTTTGCAGAGATGTTCACAGGCTATTATAAGCCAGAACAGCCCCAGTGACTCAACAGAGATGCTCTGGCTGGAGATGCTTAACATGATGCTGTTTTAAAAGGCAGTAAGAGGAGGCTAGCTTCCCTAAGAGGAAAGCTGCAAATCATCAAGAAGGAATACAAACCCTTGGGAGGTGTGAGATTGACTCCGTTTTTAAGGCACCACTGTATTGGCAAGATCCCTAAAGAATCCGCATGGCAAAGCATTGAGATTTTGCTGGGTTCAGGTCTCAGGTCATCAATGGTCACTTGTAAGTAATGATTGTTAAAAACCTAAGGGAAGAAAAAGAAGGAAACAAAATCAGATGTTAAATTTGTTGCAACACTAGCAAACACTGAAACAAACAGGAATGAAACTGCTCCTGAAAATAACCCCCAGTCACCTAACACTTGTTATAAAAGTGTTTCTGCCAAAGAGATCAAGGCTTGAGTTTTACAGATAGGTAAACTGAGGCAAAGGACAGCTCCATCACCCAAGGTCATTCAGTGTGCCCATAGCTACGCAGGGAATGGAGGCAACCCTGGAGACTTCATGGCCTTCCCCTCTCTTGTTTTGATAGCGTGAATTAAATACCCAGATACCCTGACTGTCCAGCTGTTTTATTTCAAAGGATTTCCCAGATGTGCAGGGAAATATGCATGCATGGAGAGAAGACAGGGATAAAAGAGAGATTCCCTTATTTTTGTATGAAAGCGGTAGATGGACATCTTCATCCCAATCAGATCTAAGTGTATATATAGTCACCTAGTGATGCTGGTGCAACTGAAACAATTCATGAAGAAGGAAAATATTCAGATGGCTTTTAAACACGCTTCTTAACGTGTTCTTCAGGAAATCAAAATAAATAAATAAATAAATTCCTGATTTTTTTCTAAATATGGTGGAAATCAGTAAGAATGTTCACAATCAGGCTCTTCCCAGCCATCCTTGCCAGGAGCTCACCTTGGTCACTGATGCAGGACAGATATGAAATGGCTCCCTCATATTCACCGCCTCCAGCTTCATCCCCACGGTGAAGAAGTGGCTTCGCAAATCAGCATGGTCCTGGGGAAAGAACAGGGAGGAGGAACAGGAAATGTCAGCACCATCCACCAAGGAGGGGCCAATACTTTTGGAAATCTATTTGAAATGTCTCTGTGTGGGTTTTGTTACTCAGCTGATTATCAGATTACCTGCCCCCCCAAATCCAGCTGGGTGCTCCACTCATATGGGTGGAAGCAGCCCAAGATGGCCCTAATTCACCCTGGGGGATGCCTGGCTCCTGCAGGGCACCAAATACAGACCTGTTCTGGTTTCCATGTACCATAAGAGGAAAGGTCATTTCTCCAACCAGACCCAAGGCAGAATAAAGTGCAGACACTGAGCTTGGACCCAAAAGTTGGGCAATGAGAGAACATGGTGGTGGGAAAACATGGAACTGTGTTCAGGTACATGCCCATCACAACACCTTCATCTGGGATCAAACCTGCCTGTGCCCCAAAGGCTGCACGCAACAGCTTTGGGGAACCAGCAGGATGCAGTCCCAAAGCCCAGGAACAACCCAGGTTCGACTCCCTGATTTACCACCAGTTTAGTGTTACATCTATCAAATTACTCAATCACTCATGACCTTTGTCTAATAGGCATATACACTGGCATCCTAATATCAAAGTAATGATCACATTTTGTGTTCATTTAACAAAAGTGTCCTACAGTATTTCTTAACAATCTGTGTTTCAGCCAAAAAATGCATAAAAGGCAAAGCTGCTACATTTAAAACATGCACACACACACGCTGAACTCAAAAATACATGCAGAAAGCTACCTAATAAAGTGCTTAGCAGTGTCATTCCCACCTACATTCATTGCTACATGTACATCTTGTTCTAAAATGATTTTTTATTGATCTGGAGTTGTATGTCGTTGATCTTTCCTTCCCAAGAACTGTACTCGCTTGCAGACTTAACAACCTCTATTTTGGGATTGTACATTCCTGGTGCCATTAGAGATAAGGGGTTTTACAAGATCCTACTAAGGCTAAAGGAATAGTTGTTTTTATCTCACCTAGCTTTGCAATGTTATCGTGCCTTTTATGTGAGAAGCAAAAAAGCAGTCCAAAAAAAAAGTATCTCAATGACTTTAGCTTCACAGCAGGGGAAGTATGTACTTATGGGGAAACTGAGGAAGATTTAGCAATAATGGTCCAAAGCACCAAGATGGAATAATGGCTGAGGAAGGAGCAGACATTTAGGAGTTCGGGTGTCCTGCAGCACAGCATCAGCTGTACTTGCAATTGCTGGCAGTTACTTCCACATCACTGAAGTGCCAGCAAGCCAGGAAACCCATTTCTGGCAGTTTTACGATGTGAACATTACGCTGAATAAATGGCTGATTCAGGGAAGAGAATTTGGTTCCTTGTATATAGACGTTGCACAGTTTGAGGGATGCATCAGTTGGACGGGTTATCAAAATTGCCATCTTTACTACCAAAAATACTTCAGCTGGGAAAAGATGATGGCTGCAAAAATCAGACCTCACTGGCAGTGAACTTCAAATCTCCAAAGGTAGAAAGCACTTGGACTGGAGGGATGACTCCTTCCCTACACGAGGATCCACACTCTTAATCCTTGGGGTGAGGGTTGTAAAGAAAAGGCAACTGCACAAAACGTGCATCTGGAAGCAAGCTTACACTGCAGCATCTTCCCATCAAAAGATACAGGATTCAATTCACGCTCGCATCCGGCTTCACTACATAATAAGCCCAGATCCACCAAACTACTTAATCATGTTTATCTTTAAACATGCAAGTAGTTTCATCAACTTTGTAAGTGATTTGTTGATTGAGACCAACATACTTAAAACCATATCGCTTCTCATTTTTATTTCAATCAGTTTCTTTGGTTCTGCTCCTTCTTTTTTACTCTGGCCTTTTTTGAAGGGGAAAAATAATTAAGTAGGAAAAATCATGAAGTTAATAACATTTAAAGCTATTTGTTTTACTTCAAAAGCACATCCCCTTTTGTCCATGTGCTATGCATCTTAGAATCAAATCTCCCTTCTCATTCAGTGGGGCATGTAAACATCTTTCCCATTAAATTAATAGCAAGAATAAACCCAAAGGGAAATCGTGGGATCTTAGGTATGTCTCCTTTTTAAGGCAGAAAATTCTCTTTGAAGCAGGAATGTACATTTGTTTCGAGAAGGGCTGTGGAAGCAAAAAGCTTGTCTGTGTTAAATGTCATTTTTGAGATGGAAAAGCTTTCATGGAGAAAAAAAACTTTGTATTGTACCTCTCTGGTCAGGGTCTGGATATTTGATCTGTTTCACATATTTGTTAAAGAGAAGCATCAAAATTTACCAAAAGAGCCTTAGATTTTTGCTGCCACAAAAAGAAAAAAGATCCCAATGCCATTTTCTGGTTCCAGTGCTGGAGTTGTCTCAGCCAGCAGGGAATTACTTAGGCTTTGGCATATGCTCCTCTTCAAAACTCCAATTAATTTACATAATTTCTAAGAATAGGTTTTACAGAAGTGAAGGCAAAGCTTTTAATTAGTATTAGACTCAAAGTGATACAGTGGATAATGAACTGCGCTCTCTTCCCATTATTCACACTGACAGGGAAGACGCCCGTTAAATAAAAGCAGCTGCAAGAAGAGAACCAAAGGGGTGAGACCTTCCCCTGGCTCGCCCCCAGACCCTGCAGCAGAGCAAAAGCAGTGCCTGAAATGTTTCTGGGTGGCAGAAATCAACCCTTTACAACTGCCCATGGCATTCAAAAACCGCCTATGAGGATGCCACCAGACATTAATTTCTAGCAACTACTTCAAGCAAGTTTCAATTTGCTTTGCAATGGAGTTGAATAAGCCAGTTGGAGCATTTTATAGCCCCGTGCATGGTGAACCTCTATTCCTGCTGGCAGGCAATGCTTCCCAGAAACAATCCCATTGACCACACAGATTTACACAAGCAGCTAACCTGTCTAAGGGGCAATAGAAGTAACCTCCCAGCCCTCACTGCTGGTAAGCAGTCAAGAAAGCTAGCCTGACAAGCCACACTAACGCTGAGAAATCCCCTACAGCAAAGCAAAAATCACATCAAGGAAAGTACGATGAATTAACGTGGAACGAGCACCAGAGTTGCTCATTCAAAGGGTCACCATCTCTAACATGATGGATTACAGCCCACAATGGCACTTTCAAGCAATGAATGGAAAATTGCAGAACCTTCCATTGAACAAACGTCTGTCACTTACAGCCCAAACCCATCAGCAAAGCCAGGGTTGTCACAGCTCTCACTGCAAAGCCCAGGAAGCAATTCCATTCAGCCCCACTCTTGCCATTTGAGAACAGTATGAGCTTGCAAAATTTGCAGTGGGCATGAGCTGCAACCTTCCAGGCCACCTGAAAGTCAGCTTTACTTCAACACTCATTTGCATCATTATCTGCATCTTCTTAAAATACATTTTACTGCAACCTTTCCACAAAAACATCTTTGTGACAGCTCAGTGCAACAAGCACTGCTTCCCGTCATCCATCTGCAAGGCTGAATGCTGGAACAGCTGAAGGTCAAACAAGAAGTCAGCAATTGGGCTGGGAGAAGAACCAGGCTCCTAATTCCCAATCCTCTTCTTGAGGTGCTGAGAGAACTGCCTGACTTTCTCCTTCATAGCTAATGAGACACAGGTAGTGCAGGTTTCAAAAACGTGAGGGTGACTTGGGAGCCTAAATGTCATTCCAAAAGAAGCCCCCAAACAGATTTACAAAAGTATTCAGACTCAAGGACATGAACAGGCTTTAGGGATGTAGCTGTGTGGGTGATGTGCTTAAGTCCTAAAGAGTACTCACTGACTTCCACTAAGCATTGGTCTTGAACTCAGAAATATATTCTGCAAAATCACCATAGCTATTTGCCCTTTCTGGTGCCAAAATACCTTGCTAAATCTGGCTTCTGAGTATTTCTACTACACAAACATCATTTAAGTGTAAGTAAACTCAAGTTTCTCCACATCACAGCAGTATTCTGGCCACAGAAGACTGGGGCTCAGGTCTTTTTACGCTCCACTGTGCAAAGCAGAGAGCAGTGGGCCTTGGCTAAGCTGCTTTTGCCTGTGACATTTAGGGAAGCCATGCTATGGGCTGGTTCTGCTAGCTGTGTCCACAAACCCAAAGAAAGGTGTCTCCTTCTGGTTCTGAAATGCTCCTTCTTAGTCCATCCTCCTCACCATAAAACACTGGACTCATCTCATTTTAAACCCAACAGCTTACACAGTATACAGATAAGGGGAAAAGGCTCATTTTCAAATACCCCCAAACGCAGGGTTCTTTTAGTCCAGGATAGTCACATTCACACCAATTATGAGAACTCAGAACTAAGCCTGAACGTTGAAAAGTTGCAAAGTTGAGAGGCTGAAACAGCAAACAATTAATGCATGATTAACCTGAGCCTCCTTTCTTCCTCACCAGATGCAACAGTGAAACGGTATTCCCTTCAATCACCTCTCTCCTGCTTTCCCCTACTAAGGACATAGAAGAAGCAGGCTCCATCTGGTACGACTGGAAACATATTATTTATTTCAGCTTTTGTTTTGAAAGAAATTGCTTCCCCCAGTGTTTTCCCTAATTCTCCAAGATACTGGCTGCTTCTAATGGCCTAATTTTAATCACAAAGCTCATGTGTGGTAACCAGTCACACGCACAGCAATAGCAGTGGTTAAACTGCCTCTACAGGAATCTGGCATTTGTTTTTTAATTGAGAAAAAAAAAAAATAAAGAAAGAAACCCTCCCAACTGCAACCCTTTGCATTATTTGCAGATGAATCAGTCTTGTTTGCGATTCATCAACTTCCTTTGCTGAACACGGAGCAATTTTCCCAGAAGACACGCTCTCTGCAGGGACACAGAGATCCCCCAGTAACACACAACAGGAGCAAATCGTCCCTCATTTGGACGAGTGTGGTGGTGGGAAGACCAGCCTGGAGAGACGTCGGGTAGGATGAAGAAGAAAGGGTGATGGGAAGGAGGATTTGGAGGCTCTGTGACCCTGAGTGTGGCAGCCGCTACCACCCG